ATATGTGGTGTCAAAGCATTATTTGTCCTTTGTCCAATATTAAAGAACTGAAAGCATTTTCGTGACCCGTTGGGACATAGAGACATCAGTTTAATGTCAACTGTGGCTAAAGTTTTTAGTCAAATAATGAATGAAAGGTTTTTTTGATATTTTGAAAACAACAATTTACTGAGCGAAGAACAGAATGGATTTAAGTGTCTCGGGTCATGTCTTGATCACATTTATTCTTTGTGCACAATTCTGCGAAATAGAAAACTGATGAATTTGGATATATTCTTATGTTTTATAGACTTGAGTAAAGCATTCGACTCGGTCAACCACACTATTTTGTGGAATAAACTTTTAAGTTCAGGAATATCTGGGAATATGTTCAAAACGATAAAATGTATCTATTCAAAACTAAAAATGATGTCCGATTATCACCTTACTTACGGAATGGTTCCGATAGATACTGGTGTACGTCAAGGTGACAACTTTGCTCCAACACCTTTTGCTTTATTCATAGACAGCCTAGTGCCACAGATTAACAGTCCATCGTCTGGAGTTCAAATTGGAAATGATATGGTAAGTTGCTTACTCTATGCTGATAATATTGTGTTTATTTCTAATAGTCCTCATGGTTTACAAACTCAACTGGACACTTTACATGAATGGATAAAATTAAACTGCTTAAGGGTCAATATTGATAAAACGAAGCTTATGCATGTTCCAAAAGGTACCGCTGTTAATTGTGATTCCGTATTTATGCTTGGCAATACCGGTATTAATTTCGTCGATAAATATCGCTTTCTAGGCTTCAGATATGGGGTGAAGGTTTGATACTATTAAAACGTTTAGACCCGCTGCAATTGTTTGCACCTGTCCTAAGTCAGGAATCTGATATTCAGTAGTTGTCGTTTGTTGATGTGGTTCATAAGTGTTTCTCGTTTTTTATATAGATTAGAACGTTGGTGTTCCCGTTTGAATGGTTTAACACTAGTAATTTTTTGGGGGCCCTTTATAGCTTGCTGTTCGGTGTGAGCCAATGTTCCGTGTTGAAGACCGTACTTTGACCTATAATGGTTTACTTTTATAAATTTTGACTTGGATGGAGAGTTGTCTCATTGGCACTCATACCACATCTTCTTATATCTAATTAATGATATTCAAAAGTATAGACTTCATTCTGTATGTGCCTGTCCCAAGTCAGGAGCCTATAATTTAGTGGTTGTCGTTTGTTACATATTTGTTTTTCCTTTTTTTCTTTTTTTTTTGTACATAAATTAGGCCGTTAGTTTTCTCGTTTGAATTGTTTTACAAAGATATACGAAAAATGGTTATCCCCGTAATGGAAAATGTGCCGGGGGTATGTGGACCAAAACACAACACAGTACTAGAAAGACTCCAGTATAGAGTTATTTGAACTTCCCTTGGTGTTGGAAAAACCTAAACGATTCCAGAAATAACAGGTGACATTGCATGGATTTCTGTACTTGTGGGCAATCAATGTAATATTGTTCGTGTATGGTGTAAACTTATGAAAATGCCGGATTTCAGGATTTGTCGCAAAGTATTCCTTTTCCTTTGGTATGTCGATCTTTCCACACGCTACAAATACCTTGTTCAGCAGTGTTAAACAATTTTGAACAATAGTAGTCTGTCAGCCTTAATTAACAACACAAACAACCACGATCCGATATCAACAAAATATGTAGTTGATTCCGTTAAAACTAAATTTATAGATATATTCAAAAGCGAATGGATTATTAATGTTCAGGATTTACCAAAAGTAAGAACGTATAAATTACTTAAGACCGAATTTTGTACTGAGCCGTATGTTAAAAAAAGTGTTTGTCGAGAAAACAGCGATTAGTTACAGCTAGAATTCAATGTGGTACACTGCCTTTAGAAATCGAACACGGTCGATATCTTAATATTCCAGCCGACCGGAGAATCTACAAAGTGTGCAATTCTCACTTGATCGAAGATGAAAACCACTTTTTGCTTTTGTGTGACCGTTACTCCGCTAGACGAAACGAACTGATGCGTGAACTAACTTTTATTAACTTTGACTCCCAAGAAGAAGCATTAAACGAACTGTTAACGAGCAACTTGAAAACGGTGGCAAATACTGGCTTAGACTAAAGATAAGACAATATATTTTATAAATACTTTTACTTTATCAAAACCACACGACGTAAAGACTGTTCAAATCGAATCACATGTAGCTACAGGTATAATTATGTTCTAAAATGACAATGTTCGTTAGTCTATATGGCTGGCTGAAAATGTAAATGAACATAACTTTTGTATATTATATTATGTCAATACAGGTTGCACTTTAATTAATTATTTATTCATTCATTTATTCATATATAGTTTTACTATGACGCTTTACAGATCAAGTTTGAATTTTGTTCCGGTCTGATGATTATTTTGCAGAGTTATGGTCCTTGGACTTAGAAAATATACTTAAATAATCAGTTTTGCACAATTTTTCGTCATACTTCAAGACATTGATTTGATAAATGTTATATAGTTCACACCAATTTAACTTATAGATCAAGTTAGCATTTTGTTCCAGTACAATGAAGGACATCTAAATTTAAACTGTAAGGGTCAACATTTCAAAAAGAAATTATGTTCGAAGACAAAGGAAAGAGCTGCAAAAGTTAGAAAACGGGTCGGATTACCGGAAAAAATAAAGTTTATTGAAAGGCCTATGCAATTTCTATGAGACAAATTTACTAAAGATAGCGGATTGCTACGTCGATTATGCAAAGGCAGATTAAACCCAGGAAATTGAATTTCTCACCAGCCTATAATACTGGGTCGATGCAAAAGGACACAACACCAATAACACTGATATCATTAACGCGTATTGTAAAAAACCGAATTTGTTAATTGTTAGTAACTGATTTAATAGAATAACAAACGGCTCTTAAAGGGTGTAATTAGCAGACTTAACAACGGTAAAACACAACTTGATACCCTCTTACATCTAAGTACATATAGCTTGTATGAATATGTGTGACGTCAATGATATTCCCGAATTTTCTATGGTGAAATTAATTTCCAAAACTGCATACAAAATGTATTTGTATCTAAACACAGTAAGGTTTATGCTTGTAAGTGCTTATATGATAATGCGAGTTCACCATAAACAAGACAAGTTTGACTTGTTTTAGAGAATTTGTCTATTATCTCGAAACCAATAATAGATATATGTTTTGAGAGGTGACTTATTCAAGCTTGTAGGAGCCTCTTTTTATTTCCCAACATGCCAAATATCGTTGTTCCATTATTGAAAATTCAGTTTCTCTAATTCAATAATTGATAAGCGACCTTCCGAGATTCTCATGGGTAGTCAAGGTCGTTTAACACCTCCAAGTAGTAACAATTGGTATATTAGTGCTGTGCATTTATATAGTGTGCATTTTTTAAAAAGCTCTTAAAGATCATGCTCCAGGTTGTACTGCAAGCCCGATAGGCGATGGCAGTTAGTTTGAATCTGCACTTTTGACAATTATAGACTTATATCATTTAGATGTCTCATATCAGTGTGTTCCGGTATTGGAACCGTTTAACATTAAATGAAACGAGATGTGGATATACAGTCAATGCAACAGAAAAAAGATCGACGCAAATAACAAACAAAATACGTCTAGGGGACAATTTAATATCATTAACAATAACCAGGTGTCTTTGCGACATATCAAACTCTAAATTGTCTAGATATGACATAAGACAACCACTTACGCCGGTCATTGATTGGTATATAAACATGGTCGCGATTTATAATAATAATCTGTATTAAGACAGTGTATAAAATGTAAAGGCGCTACATTTAAGATATAAATCATATCAAAATAGTTAGAAAATTGTGGCCGTAGAATCTGACAGAGAGATGGAACATTTTTAGATACATGTTAATAAATGTGTTAGTAGCTTTATATTATGAGTATGTAGTGAATTCCTATTTCTTTCCTAAATTAAAACGTATATTTTAGAACACTTACATGATGGAATCTGAATTGAATTAAAACAACACACAGTTTCAAATAGTAGATTACTGTGTATTAAATGAATATCCATAAACAAATGACAGTTGAGCCGAGCGGAGCGATATGAAAAAAAATGATGTCTTTCCTGCCAAATTGTAAGTAGAAGCAACGGGTGTTGGTCGCCTGACTCCACATCTCCAGTTTTTAACTGGATATTATTCATATAAAGACATTAAAAAAATACACACACTTGACTCCAAGATATCATCTTGGACCATTGAAATATATGCTCAATATATGCTCAATCACGAGTGTTACGATTATTCATGTAAGAAAACTTGATTAATATTATCAGTCCTTTTATTATAGGGAAAGGGGTAAAATATTAAGAGAACTTTATAGAAAACATACAAAAACAAAGACACCAAACCATTATTTCTTATTACTGTTATACTTCATGTCCAACAAACAAACAGACGTTGATCATGACTGACATGAATAAAACATTGAAATGAATATTATGAACAAAGACATATCAATATGACATATGCATCTGGAAACACTTTTGCTGAATAATCAGATACGGATTCATCAAATGAGCTAAAATTTTTGCATGTTTCAAATACGGAACTGATGAAATCTTGTAAACAAAATTTCAATGCCCACCCCCATCTTAAGAACTTAAAAATTTGGATACCCATTTCCATTCCCAAATATTTTCAAGGGCCCCTTAATACACCCCCCCCCCCCCTTTTTTCATGTTACAAATGACCAGTTCTTGTGAAAAGATGTTTTCTGAAAACATAACATTATTTCTTTTCAAAATATTTTCTATATGAAGTCAATATATGATCATTTGATTCTTTATTGAAATATGTTTGTCTTCCTTTTTTTTTAAATTCAATTAATATTCTACAAAATACCACCGGTGAGTTTATAATCTATATTTTTACATACATTATAACACTATTTGCTGATTGGGTATTTAAATTTGCATTTTTGTTGAACTGTTGAATGAATACTTTGTACTAGAATAAAGATCTGACGTAACACGACTTTTCGTTAAGAACACTACAGAAACGTTTGATAAATAATACAAAGACTTGAGAGTAAGGAAGTTTAAAATATAGTTATAGTATATTCTCACAAAATGGCGACATACAGATTGACAAGGAGATTAAACCGGGTAAGGAATTAGTATCAATTAGTTAAAACCCAAACGACACAAATAACCAGTCTTCAACAATACACATTATCGCTATTTATTCCATTCCGGGTAAGTTCTGAAATTACACAACTTTTTCATCCAGTTGAAGCTATATTGGGCACGGTTTAAACAATGTATTATGCATGATACTTTTTAAAGAGACCTGTTTAAACCATCGTATACATTTCAAACAAAATATTTTTTTAACTTTAATTTGAGTTTCGAAAAAAATGGATCATAATCTATCCAAGTTTCAAAGTGTACGCTGTCTAAATTTTTTCCTCCCTCAGCTCGTTACTGATGAACTTTGTTTTGGCGCCAGTTGACCCAAACAGGAAGTTGTTTGAGTTACTGGTTTTTTTCGGATTGGACTAAATAACGATAAGGGGTATACCCAGGTGTATATACAATATTTCAAGCCCTAACTTGTCAAGAGAATAAAATGGTGTGAAGAATTTTAACATGCAAACTATAAAACTCTGACATAAATACCAATATGTGCCAAAAAAGAAAAAAAAATATATAACATATACAACCACTAAAGATGTTTACCAGACTGAAAAAGAGATATGAGATTATTTATATACTTTGTAATTTGATACGGTTTCGTATAGTGTACCTTTCGTATACCTTTTTGATGTTGACAAGACCTTACCAAAAAATCGATATAAAGGTTTATTTTGTATATAGTAATGACAACGTTTAAAGTAAAACAAAATATTCAACTTGTTGATAAAGGAAATTAACAGGAAAAGTGTGATGGTTTCCTTTTCATTTAGTTATCCTTCAGCTAAGTCCTATAAATTGACCTAATTAATCACTTTATGTATAAAAACACGGACCTTTTCAGATTTTCAAAATGTTCAGATAATCCCAAGTTTTGACTTTATCACTTTTCTAAGCTACATTTGTTAACATTGAATTTGATTGGCTCAATCAATCAGTAATGTATTGGAGTTCTATATACCACTAATCTTAAATTAATTCTGCAGCGTAAATCACAGCAAAATTTGAAATAATGCCTCCCTCAAACATTTGTTGATTTATACACGCATGTATATGTTTATAAGTGGGGTATTATAATCCATTTATCTGCGATTTTATCAGTAGAATAGAACGAAGTTCTGTGTGTATACATTTGAAAGCAAATACATTACTGTCTTCATTGAGGCAATCAAATTTCATTTTAATATAAGTATTCACTTCCATAAAAAGATGAAGGGAAAAATGGGAGTTAACCGGGTAAAATTCGTTAAATACATTACGACATTTATAAAAGCCAATACCTTTGGAGTTAACAAAAGCATGTAAATGCTAGATGGATATATATGACACTTTATTTTTAAATCAGGAAAATCTGCAAATCCGAAATTATTCAGGTTTTTTTTTCTCTGTTAACAAAAAAAGACTTTGAACGATCTAGGTATCCTAGATATAAGCACTTAGTATTAAAATTATTCGTCTCTCAGGCAATTGTCGCAAGTTGACTTTATATTGCTTTATGGGCCTTTTTCAGGGGTCATTTTGTATCAGATACCTTCAATTGTTTCGGGCTTCAAACATTCTTGGCTTTCAAATATTCGGCTATGAGCGTTCCTGATGAAGGTAAATCCAGAAAAGCGCTATTGACGCATGCAATTTATAAAGTGTTGTTTTCATTTTTATTACCAAATAATTGTTTAATTGGGTGTACTAAAAACATTTGTTTGATGCCTTTATTCGTTTTTGCTCAAACTGTGGATGGGCAGGGGTAAATTTTCCATTTTGATAAGATTTCATAATATCAGGTAAAAGATAGCTTTGGGTTTATCAAATATATGTTCTGTTCCTCCAAATAGGAAAGCCAATGGTTTTGGATATACTATAAGTATTTTAATTTTAAAAAGATAGATATTACAAAATTTAACAAAATCTGAATGGTCTGAAAAACCAAAATTTTCCTTTTTCCCCGAACTTGGTCTACACAAATGACATAAATGTAGCCAAATGGGTTCCAAATATATCTGTTGAACATAGTTCCTACTAATTTTTTGTCAGATTATACTTCGGTTGAAGTATCTAAGTTGTTCATTTGAGAATATTCACAGTTTCTAGTTAAAACTCTTGGGAAATATGGATAACATTTTTCAATATATGTAATATTTATCTTATATTAAAACTACATATGTCTGGTGTTTTTATGAAGGCTTAAACATTCTTTTTTCCAAATGAGATCAACCGAACTGGTTTAGCAAAAGCAGATTGGTCATAAGTGGCAATAGTAAATAAAAGTTGACAATTCTGGAAATTTGAAAATATGTTTACAATTTCCTCATATTCTGACTACAAATTGTGCTCTAAACTTAAGAAATACCACGTAATATGTCCACTACTTCAATATTTTTGGAATACATCAAATAATAAATTGTTTATCTTATTTTGCTGTTTGTTAACAATTGAAAGAACTTTTTTTAGCATTTTCTCCATATTTTAATGGGCAAGGGGTATGCATGTCTTTCAATTGTGAGAATAATCGAGAATAAAAAGCATGAAAACCAGATAATATTTAGAAAGCTCATAGCCTGTCCTTTCATTTGATAACCTACATATGTAATGAAATCATTAAGTGTATGGTATTGAATTCCCAGTACCTTATGTCGACCATCGTTAATTTGGCGGCCATATCAATAATTCTGATATCCCCCTGACTAAGCGCTCAATGTCATCATCAACATGTTTACAGAAGTGATTTCTTCGATTGAAAAAGCTAACATCTATTTGTAAATGGCGAAATACCAAAAAAATCGGTGTCATGGTTTATTAAAGTCGGTGAATATGTGTAAAAGAAAATGTTGAGTGTAGTATTACATTAATCAGATAGGAAACAAATACAAATATTTAACCAGAAGAAAAAATGTTTATGCTTAAGAGAACATATATATCTTTAACAGTTTAACTTATAGTTCTTAACTTCTTTGTCATTTAATTTTTGGTGGAGAGTTGTCTCATTGACAATCATACAACATCTTCTTTGTTTTATATAGATGATAAGTTTGTATACGAAAAAAATAAAAAAAAATAGATAAAATATGCCGTTGTTTGTTAACCTTGCAAATCACCATTGCTAATAGAGCCGGTTTAACCATATTTGATATCCTTGCATTACAATTATCTAATGTGTGAAATTTTACTTTTCAGGAACTTTTAGACATTTCTACAAATCCTCCACCAGGTATTTCTGCAGGTCCAATTAACGATGACAGTAAGTTTACACCAAACGCTGCGTACTGCAAGCCTGTTTGCAATTAGTATCATGTAATGAACACTGGTTTGACATTAAATTTGTTCTCATTTGTACATCGGTATTTTAGTTACATGTACTTGAAAATTGTTCACACAAGTAAACAATATGTGTTTATTACATAGAATTAAATTAAAGATTTCTCTGTAAACATCTGTATCAGTTAAGCGCAGACCAATTCATATTTTTTTTCATTTTTCTAATTTTTTATTTTTTTTTGGGGGGGGGGGGGGGGGGGGGGGAGGGGAAGGTGATAAATTGTTAAATAAAATTTTTTTTTTCGGAAGTGAGAAAAATGATTCAAAACCGTAAAAAAGGGCAGGGTGATTCAACTTGGAGTTAAAAAATACTCCTGTATGTTATTGAACATTTTTTTATTAAAGTAATAAAACAATTGTTTGTCCCACGAAGATAAATGGTCGATACAAAAAAAAAACCTTCCTATTGACTTGGAGAACTTTGAGAATTCTAGAGATATCACGATTACGCAGACTAAAACACCGTAACAATAGGCGAAATAGGGATTTTGAAAATGATTGATTGATAGATAATTGGTTGCTTAACGTTCAGTGGCAAATATTTCCGGCATATTCAGGACGAGAACAAATTAACAATAAATACGACAGGTAATTTTTACACAGAGAAATACATAAATAAATAATTAATAATACATTATAACATGTAAACCGCAGAATAACAACGGTCACCTGTCATGAATCTACGACAGCACACCAGAACACCACAAACGAAGTATAAACTGCGCGTCACATGAATGGACCAACGTCACAAAAAGTATTTTTTGTGACGTTTATATTATCACAGGTAAATTTCTAAAAAGAAAACAGATTTGTTTTATTTATAGATACGTACAAGAATATTAAATTGGGATTGCGTTTGTAATAACATTTCCAAGACATAATGAAAATGAATATTTTGTCCTACTAAATGCAGAACTTTGCAAGAAAAAGTTACATAAAGTGAAAATAATATTGGCACTAAATGTATAAGCCGTACCATCAACCGGTGTAAATTGATACTCTAGCAGCATAAAATCCCCCTCCAACTGAAAATCAAATGGTCCACTAAGGCTAATAGATTTAATTATGTTTCTAGCTGAGCAATTTTTGAGTTTTTGTCATATAAAAAGGTAAATAACTTAATTCATAATGTTATCATTATCATTTTTACTCAATACATGTAACTTCCTTAAATATTCACAATAAAATCCTCGTTCTTAAATATCTGGTTTTTTTTAAATATCCTTAAATTAAAGATAAAGATTATGACGTGTCTCTTGTTCTAGTATAATCCTGGACTTCAAATGAATGGGTTTTACTTGCATGTCATTAGGTCTAAAAAAAAAAAACCTTTATTAATGATAAAAAGTAAATGCATGACATACATTTGAGGAAAAAGTGAAATCAAAAGTATGTAAAACTTTGAGGACTATAGATGATAAAATAAATCAAAAACAATATGTAAATAATAAATGTCCGTGTTAAATATGTAGAATTTATAGTTGTCTATAATTTTGAGGTGTCACCATATTTTTTTTGGGTGTACAATTTTTGTAATAATAGATACATAAATAAATCCTCCTTTTCCACATAATCTTTATAGTGCAACGTAATATCTTATTGAAATTGGCCAGTGGGGAAATAGAGGAAAGAGTAAACATGTACAATTATCGGCTTTAGCGGATGAGTCCAGACTTAAATGTGACGTACAGTATTGCAAGAACTCTGAAATAGAGCTAACGTAGCTGCCTGGTTAAAGTTAATTTTGAAATTAGAATTTTGTATGGTTTAGTTCTTTAAATCATTTGAATCAACTGAACCTGGTCGAGTACTTGTTTTCGCTTTTCATGATACATCAGATAGATAGTTCTACAGAGTCTTCGGTAGACATACGCAGACATACACGTCAAAATAACGGTCGACAACTCTGCCGCTACATATCGGCTGGTAAAGGGACGATAAGTTCTAGCATTTAATTATGTGCACTTTATCATTACACTACGTCAAATATCGATAACAATATTATCAACTAAAATTGGTAAAAAAAAAATCGAATTGTCTAAAATCATTCGCATAGAGTTTTTGCTTCCAATTTTAAAATCAAATGATAAATTTTACACACAGAATATAAAATAAAAATATGGATTTATTTTACTATTGATATATATTTATAAAAAAAAAATTACGTTACAACATTTAAGAAGCTGAATATTGATATTATTTTTTTTCTTCATTATCATTGTTATGATATTTCATTCAGTCCTTTGATAGAATTTGATTTGAAAAAATTTCTCGGCGGCAAAATATGTCGTATATATATTACTTTAAAACTCTGGAAATAAATTTGTACACGGGATGATTATAACAAGTATTGTTGATTTAGTTTAGCATACGTTTCTTATGAATTACCTTACTAGTTGTGGAATGTGGACAGGTATCAACCGGTCTGTTACTTGTCATGCTTACCTGGTGTGATTACATCCAGAGACATATAATAAGTCTCTGATACATCTATGCCTTCGAGTATTACAGATAAAATATGCTAAAATATGTATGGACTGTACAATTTTTATCGTTTGGCTACTATAAAAATGTTTAAAACATGCAATCTTCAGACATTCGCAATTTAAAAAATGAAAACAGCAAATTTTATTTGAATTTTAAACACGATAAATGACACAATCGCCATTTTTCAAAAATCCTAATATCGTTGAAAATTCGTAGTTTTAAATCAACTAGGGACGTAATTTGTATATGAATAAATTAAAACTCTTAAAATAGCATGCACCACTAGACATATGTTTCAAGTATTACAACATAGCAAGGAATTTGTAAAATTGATGTAAAAGAAGACGTAGGTTTGTTATTTGTGCTACAGAACCAATTGACCGACGACGAGAAAAAGAGCCATGTTTACAATTGACCAGAGACGTAATTTAATCTAAAATTAAACTGTCAGGGTCAACATTTAAGAAAGAATTATTTTCGAAGACAAAGGAAAGAGCAGCAAAAGATAGAAAACGGGTCCGATTAACGAAAAAAGTAAAGTTAATTTCAATTTCTATGAGACAAATTTCCTACAGAATGCTGATTAACACGTCATCGAAGTCACGTTATGTCTTAATAAGTTGGTACGCTTAAAGTGTATGTGTGTGTGTGGAGGTGGGTGCAATCTTCTTAAAGTGACAAGCAAAACAAAAGTAAAATGAAGCAAAATATTTTTTCTATAATTTTATAGTCTAGAAGTTATTCAGTGTCCTCTTTTATTGTAGGTCGACCGAACTGCCGTTGGTTAAAGAGGATTTGTTCGATTGAGGAAATTGTGTCTTGCATCAGACCTTCTAAAAATCCCTCAAAAAAAGGGTTGCAAGTGTTATTCAGCATGCTAAGAACGTGTCAATTCCGCCGAACGGAGATACGTAGTTATACATCCTACACAGTCAAAGTTGAAACATGGATATGGCATTACGATAAACTATGTAATAAGAAACTGTGAAAGAAATTTTAAAAAGTATTTAATATGTCTTAAAACAAAATATTAAACCTATATTTTGTATTTTTCAGTGTTGAATTGGCAGGGCATAATATCAGGACCAGTAAGTATACAGTATAGGTAAAATCAGAACATAATGTCTTAATAAAACTGTATTCACAGCATGTAAATAAGATAGGATACTTACCATAAAACGAACCGACATTTTCAAAAAAGCCTACTTCATTCCCTCATTTTTTGTTTGTTACCTTAATATGTCTCTTCCTAACGAAATTCGAACAAAGGGAAACTATTGCCGCCTTATTTCATAACCAAATCTGAAGAAAAAACTCAGAGGTTTCTTGAAACCTTGTGTCTTTTCGGCCTTTAGAATTAATATTTCAAGATAAGTATTACTGTACGTATCATTTAATTAAAGTACTAACACGGATGAATGAAGTGGGAATGGTGCATATTTTCGTATTATTATTATTATTATTGAACACTGTCGTCTGATCACAAAATCAAAATAAAGATATGAATTATAATTGCCAATGAGTATCAACCAGAATTCAAATGAAGTGGATGTAAACTAGTGTTGGTCATCGTACGACTTTCAACAAATTGAATGGGAAAAACTCATAGCGTATAGTTAGCTTTAACAGGCCCCGACATACTAAAATATGAATTAGATAAAAATAAAAAACTAACGGTTTAATTGATCATCATGAAACTTACTAAAAACAAATATGACAACATGAAACAAGTACAACTACGGAATTACAGGCTCCTGACTTGGGACAGACAAACAAACAGGGTTTTTGTTAAGACTTTGGATTGTTTAACATCCGTCTTATATCGGGAAATAAATGTAGTTTTTGTTTTTAGGTTGTTTTCTCATTGACGTATAAACAAGTTTCTTGTATTCTTGTAAATCAAATATTCATTCGTTTTTTACAAGATGTCTTAGGACACTGATAATGATCTTAATAATAATTCTAATCTTTCAGGACAGAAGTCCATACGCTGGAGGGCTATTTTATGTAGAAATACGGTTTCCAGAAGATTATCCTTTCAAACCTCCTAAGGCATATATGTTTATTGTAATATTGTTATTTTATAGTTTATACATATCCCAATATAAAAAGGTAGTTTTTCAAATCGATATTTAGAATATTTAAATTGAGATTGTACCACATTACTAAATTCAAATGAGAAAAATAGATATTGTTTCCGGATATGAGTTATTAAGAATCGTGTACAAATACGGTTTCCAAGTGATTATTCTTTCAAAACTCCTCAGGTATATATGTTTATTTTATAGATTATACATATCCCGACATAAGAAGGTAGTTTTACATATTGATATTTAGAATATCTAAATTGGACTTGTACCACATTACTAAATTCAAATGAGAAAAATAGATATAGTTTCCGGATATGAGTTATTAAGAATCGTGTTTGTTAGTTAGAAAACGTTCAATGTGAAAGATATAGAAACAACTTATTTATAAGTATTCATACCATTTAAAATATCCAACAAATAAGCATGAATAAAAGGAGAATTGGATTACCTACTAACTGAATATACGTAAATTTAAGTGTCTGATTATGGATAAAACAAATTGACGCTGGACGTTAATCAAACACTAATTCAAATGCACGACAGAATTACAGTTCGTAAATTGTGATTGTGATAACGATGTAGTATATTTATGACGATTTCCTGAAATAAGATCGGACACTTTTCAATCCAAACTTCGGCCATTATAAAAAAAAACCTAAAATTTCGTCCATTTTTTCAATCCCATTCTAATTTTTTTTTTATAAATGACTATTTCCCATATTACTAGACGTTTTCAACAAAAACGGAAAAACATAAAATCGACTCCCCCTTCCCAATATTTCAAAGAGTTGGATGAAAACCAAGTATATATTTTTTTAATGGCTTTAGGAAAACATCAAACACAACGAAATTACAAAGTAACATTGACATTAAAAAAATTATAAAAAAGTAGTAAAACTAGCATAAATTTATAAACATTGTTGCCACCAAAAAAAAAGGGGGCAATCATGCATCAAACTACATTGTCTTACTTAAATCTAGTTATTCAGCGTTAAAAACATATTAGTATTGTGAAATTGTATGGAGAAAAAGAATTTTGTAAATATATGAACTGATGATAAGAAACGTTGCTTTTTAGGTTAAGTTACTTTGATTTGATTGATCTTTTTACTATGACTTTCAGGTCAATTTTACAACAAAAATATACCATCTGAATATTTATGTAACTGGAAGTATCTGTGAATATCATATGGGGTTACAATGGTCGCCAGCGGTAACTATATCAAAAAGTAAGATTGCGTTTATTGTTTATTTATTTTTTATAGTTCTGAAGGATGAAATAATGTCTAAAAAATGTCAAACATCAAGTCGCAAATACCTAGGGGACAAGCAAGATTCGACTCCGATCTTAATTGACTAGGATTGTCAGTTTTCCTGCCAAAAGTCGGTGATTCTGTCCGGGAACTCAGGCTTCATCCACCAATAAAAACTGACCGCCTTGATATAGACAATAGTACTAAAAGTGGCGTTAAATACCACGTTATCACTGTATACCAAAAGATAATAAAGAATCTGTATAGAAATACAAAAAAAAATAAAGTATACGATGAAGTTTCAATACACCGTGATTAAGTGTACATGTGAATTCATTATCTTTTTTACTGATTTGCTTCTTGCAAGACGATTTCGTGTTGCTGTATAGAATATCAGGTAGAAAAATTATCACTTTTATTTCTTTAATTTAAAAGAAAAATGTTGGTTATTAATTAACAAAACAAATTACGGGAAAACAAATCGTTAAATTTGATTTTCCCAAGTTCAGAGGAAGTAAATACCGATAACTTTTGACCCAACAACTAACCAACATCATAATATCTTAACCAGTCGATATTTGGAAAAAGATTCATTTTATTAGTCGTAGGAATATAGAGCTGTCGAGGAGATGTGTTATACTATTTACAAGGTCACACTACTAACTATATGTAATAGAGTGTGTCAGTTTCTCCCTCGACAATTCTGTACTATATTCAGTAACAATTTTTGGGTGGTTTTTTTTGGCCAGTTACGTCCAAACAAATAGTCACGATGAATTATACGAAGAAAAAACACCTTTCTAGATCTGATCGATGAACATTAATTCTCACTATAATTACTTACATTTTAATGTTGTGTTTCTGTTGTGTCGTAGTTCTCCTCTTATATTTAATGTGTTTCCCTCAGTTTTAGTTTGTAACCCGGATTTGTTTTTTTCTCAATCGATTTATGAATTTCAACCAGCGGTATACTACTGTTGCCTGTATTTACTTTGCTTTGTTGTTATTTAAACAAAATATGTATTACATTTTTTTCAACAGACGATTGATATTCCTATGTAAACCAACTGTTCTACTCTTCTTTCCGTCTTGTTTTTTAATACGTAAATGGCAGGCTTTATACGGGACCTTTCTTAACGAGAATGACGTCTCTAGAAGTCCTTCAATTATTTTGTGGTTGGTTTGCTATCGCTTTGATTGTAATGGAATATCGCAGATGGACACTAAAATATTTCATATGTCGTAGTCATAATCACGCTATCTTTTCCTTGATGGTCATATTACCGAATACAACTTATCACTGAATATTAACTTTGTATTTAGTGCCGCTAGTAGAGCAGGACTTACTGTAACCCTTTTAAAGCGCTTTACTTCACCAGTAGGTCTTTTTTAATGTGATTGCTTTGGCTTATGTTCTCAGTGCTGTTTTTTGTACTCTTTAATTTTCAATTGTCTGTGTTGTTTCTACTGGAAACAATATTGTCTATCATATGTCCTGAAGCCCGTGTTTTCATTGTGATATTTCCAATTTGGTCAAGCTAAGTTTTAGAGAATGTACTGTACGGATGATTTAGAAATATGGGGATGTCATAGTGTTAAGTAAGACAAGGAAAGTCACAAATCAGCTGTTATATGTTCGGTATTCACCTGAAATGACTCGTCAACGTATTGTGCAGGAGATTCACGACGAGTGTAACAAGGAAAGCAGAGACTACGGTCTATTCCTTTTGGTTTATCTTTTTTATCGACTAATGCTTTTCTATGATCCCCTTGGTTTCGTTCACTTTTTCTCTCTCTCTTTCTTTATGAGTCAAAGGTGATATAATATATGCGCAATGAGACAGCTACCCAATGCCATACAAACAAAGACGTTCAATGTTGTCAACATTCGATATTTACCATAAACAGGTTTTATACCTTATTCGTGCTTTAGATCGCCCCAAGTCTGTCTAAAAAAGTTGTAAATAGATTTGACAGTTTGGACATTGTATAATATTGAATAGTCCTTGCAGTACTAGTTGGTTGGTTGTAACAAGCATGTAACTGTGTTAAAGCTATGCAAGGTGTTTATTTGGAATATATCTGAAATACAATGCTTTTTAATATTTTTTTATGATTTCATTTTTTACTTCAGTATTACTGAATATATCAGCGTTGTTAACTTCTCCAAATCTTGATTGTCGATTGAACGGAGAAGCTGCAAACTTATATGAATTAGATAGAATAAAATACAATGAAACAGCGGCGGAATGGACACGAAAATATGCCATGTAACATGGTCATCAGACATGTTATATAAATCGTTTTCCTTCAATCTGTATTACATATCTTACTTTTTGTTTTAGAACTTTTACAAATTATGAATTTTCTGGATGCATGAGCGGAATATATTAATGTTTTGTTTATTTTTTAATAAGTATATTTGCTTGTTTATTGTCATGAAATATTATTTGCATATAAAAAAGTTTCAACAAAAATTTATCTTGTTCTCTATTCTTGTCTGTCGACTTATTGAATAATTTGTAGGCTTTAGTTTTCTATGTTGTGTCATCTGTACTATTATTTGTCTGTTTGTCTTTTTATTTTTGGCCATGGCGTTGTCAGTTTGTTTTCGATCTATGAGTTTGACTGTCCCTCTGGTATCTTTCGTCCCTCTTTTGTAGTTTCTTTTTTTTTTAATTCTATTTGAACACAACGAAATCGACATAATGTTTGCACGGTGTTGTTTACAAAGCGAAAGAAGCACGTCATATTAGAATTATTTATTTTCTCTCGTCTTTAATCAATAGTGTAGGTATTGCTTAAGAGTTTTCATAGTTGAAAGTAGTTGTAAATTACTACAATATAATGGTGAAATATGTCCCTAGCAGCTTACACTATTTTTTGTGATCTCTTTGAAAACTAATATTAATATGATTTTCATAAAAGTATCAATCTTTGTCAAGAATTGATGTACATGGCTCTTTTATATGAAAGAATAGGTATGCGGAGTATACGTCAATGAGCCAAACACAAAAATAATTGACAGGCATCTGGGGGGGGGGGGGGGGGGCACCGTTTTGGTAGTAGTCTTAGACAGTAGACAGGTGCCTATATAATATGTCAAGGTCCAATTCGTTCTGAGTCGAAAAAAACGTTTTGAATAAACTTAGTAGACACAATGAAATAGCTACCATTAAAAAGGTACACTTTTTATGTCCCCTGATATATGCTTATAACAATAAAATATTATCCTTCCGATGTGAAGGTTGTTCCTAACCTTGTTTTAACTCCTTTTCTGTGTAAAGTTTGGTTCAATGCTGGTCAAAATTTAATTCTTTCGAATATAAGTGAGCAATATTTTGTTCGAATAACATAGACGAAAAATAAAATTAAGACTAATTAAACTACCGAAACTACAAGGTCTGTTTTATATGTTGATCTTTTCTTTCATATTGACACAGATGGACGACTTTCAACTAGAAACTATGATAATAGTGATTATTTCAACATTCAAATTGTGAACTGCCCATTTTTCAACAGTAACATACCCTCTGGCGTTTACATATCTCGATTAATGCGTTGTGCTCTTGCATGTTTTACTATACGGATATCATCAGCAGGAATGTGATGCTTACACAAAAACTCTCCTGACAGGGTTATTAGGAAGAACGATTGAAATAGACACTTCCTATGCTTTACGGTCACAATCAAGGATTGCTTTACTGATACGTTGTATCTGTGTATTAACTGACAAGTGACATGTTCTCGCGATCTTAGATCTTCAGATGCCAATAAAGTTGTTTCATCTGTTATTTTATCTATTGCGTCCTATTTTCGATTATCAAATTTTGACTGAGTGTGGATTTGCATGTCCGTTGATTTATGCTTCGCAGTAGACCCTAATCCTATTGACGTACCTTATCTCGCTCCTTTTGGTGTTTATATAGTTCCCTAAGTTTTTGTTGTTACTTTTATTTTTATCTACTAAATCGATTGACGAGATTTGGACGTCGGTACACTAATGTTCCCTAAATTTATATATTGTTTGTTTATAATGAGAGAGACCTGAACAGCGTACTGTTATTTCTAAACCACCGAGTCGATGGTCCTGTTGGTAGACTGGTCGTCCAGGAGGGTATCGTCAACTAAGTAATCAAAACCCTTTGGTAAATTTGGTTTCAAATACTCCTCAATTTTTTTTTTTTTTTATATATATATATTTATCTTTGCAACTGTTTTGAATGAAGCGCCACTGATGAATCAACTATATACAAAACGCGCGTCTGATGTGCTGCTGGTGAATCATAAGCCAGGGGACATTTCAATTAAAGTTACCTCAGATATACCATAAGATATTCTTATGACTTGATTATGGGAAGGTCTTATGACATGGCTGAGACATGTCGTAGAATTTAAAACAGAACCATCTTAAGTTGGTCATTCCTATCCAAATCCAAATCGTTTGCTTATCAATGAATATATATATAAAGATAAGTATCTATAATATTTAATGTATTCGTGTGAAAATTGTATCGTCTCATTTTATCTTAATATATTCTTACTCTAAACTTTAATAAACTGTTACTGGAACAATATGATAATTTATTTTATTATATAGTTAGTTGTAAATACGAATTGATTGTATGTGTAATACAATTAATGGCAATTGTGCTGTATCAGCCATCCGTGATGATATCGATATCTGTCATTGTAACAAAGGCTTTATTAAACCCTTAATCTGTATGACGTCTGGTAATCTATATTTGTCACGGTTAAGAATGCTTTTTAAAATCCCTAATATGTATTACGTCATGTCTCGTGAAAAAACATCTTAATTAGTTGTACTTGACGTACATAAAATTGAGAATGGAAAAAGGGAATATGTCAAAGAGACAACAACCCGACCAAAGAACAGAAAACAGCCGAAGGCCACCAATGGGTCTTCAACACAGCGAGAAAATCCCGCAACCGGAGGCGGGTCAGCTGGCCCCTAAACAAAAATGTGTACTAGTTTAATGAAAATGGACATCACACTTAACTCCAAAACATATAAACGATTGAAATAGACACTTCATATGCTTTACGGTCACAATCAAGAATTGCTTTACTGATACATTGTGCCTGTGTATTAATTGACTAGTGACATGTTCTCGCGATCTAAGATCTCCTGATGCCAATATAGTTGTTTCATCTGTTATCTTATCTATTGCGTCCTAACGTCATAACGGAATATTAAAGACATATTCAAAATTCCACAATTGACTCCAAGATATTATCTTGAACCATTGAAATATATTCTTTTACGATTAATCATGTAAGGAAACTTAATTAATATTATCAGTCGATTTATTATACAGAAAAAGTAAAATCACAAAAATACTGAACTCCGAGGAAAATTCAAAATGGAAAGTCCCTAATCAAATGGCAAAATCAAAAGATAAAACACATCAAACGAATGGACAACAACTGTCATATTCCTGACTTTGTACAGGCATTTTCAAATGTAGAAAATGGTAGATTGAACCTGGTTTTATAGCGCTCAACATCTCACTCGTATGACAGTCGCATCATAAGGGGTATAATATTAAATGAACTTTCTAGAAAACCTGCAAAAACAAAGACATCAAACCATTATTCCTAATTATTATAATTCTTCATGTCCAACACACAATAAATAATGACAACACATGAATAAAAAATTGAAAATGAAGTTCGAAGCAAAATATTATGACAAATGACATATAAATATGGCATCTGAATCAATGTTAGACACTTTTGCTGAATGACCAGATACGGATTCATCAAATGATCTATAATTTTTGCATGTTTGAAATCTGGAATGATCAAATCTTGTAAAAACATTTCAAAGCCCACCCCCTCTGAAGTATTGAAAATTTGAAACCCCCATTCCATTTCCAAGTATTTTCAAGGCCCCCTTAGTTCCTTCCCCTTTTTCATGTTACAAATGACCAGTCCTTATGAAAAGATGTTTTCTAAAAACATAACATTATTTCATTTCAAAAGATTTTCAATATGAAGTCAATATATAATCATTTGATTCTTCATTGAAATATGTTTGTCTTCCTTTCTTTTAAAATCCAATTAATATTCTAAAAATACCACAGGTGATTTTATAATCTATTTTTACACAAATAATAACACTATTAGCTGATTGGTTATTGAAATGTTTATTTACCTTGAACATGTTGAACATTCTTTGTACTAGAATTAAGATCTGATGTCACACGACTTTGAGTAAAGATTAGAACACTGCAAAACTGCTTGATAATTATTGTTTGACAAAGACTTGAGCAAGGAAGTTTAAAATATAGTTATAGTATATTATCACAAAATGGCGACATACAGATTGAACAAGGTAAGGGTTGGAATAAGTGATGAACTAGTAAAGATGTCAATTAGACAGAAACCAAACGACACAAATAACCAATAAAAGAGGGGCCAAAGATACAAGAGGGACAGTCAAACTCATAGATCGAAAATAAACTGACTACGCCATGGCTAAAAAATAAAAAGACAAACAGACAAATAATAGTACACAAGACACAACATGGAAAACTAAAGACTAAGCAACACGAACCCCACCAAAAACTGGGGGTGATCTCAGGTGCTCCGGAAGGGTAAGAAGATCCTGCACCACATGTGGCCCCCTTCGTGTGTGTTGCTCATGTTATTTCAAATCTGGTTAATAGTCTAATTCGGTAGGTCACATTCGTGGTGAAAAAGGAAGTGGATTGTAGTTACGACATAAGGAACATATCCGATATTATCTGTGAAACGGTTATTCCATAACGGTCAACCAACTCGTGATGGCGTCCGTAAAATTTACGAAGGGATGATTTCAACTTCACCAATTGGAACTCTTGGTTTAATAGCTTCCTTGTGAGCAGCAACCCTCTATCAAGGAAATCATGATAGGAAATACAAGCCCGGGAATATCGTATCAGTTAGGAGATAAACTATTTTAGGCTAACATACAGCCTTCAACAATAACCAATAAACTATTATAGGCTAACATACAGCTTTCAACAATAACCAATAAACTATTATAGGTTAACATACAGCCTTCAACAATAACCAATAAACTATTATAGGCTAACATACAGCCTTCAACAATAACCAATAAACTATTAAAGGCAAACATACAGCCTTCAACAATAACCAATAAACTATTATAGGCTAACATACAGCCTTCAACAATAACCAATAAACTATTAAAGGCTAACATACAGCCTTCAACAATAACCAATAAACTAGTATAGGCTAACATACAGCCTTGAACTATAACCAATAAACTATTATACGCTAGCATACAGCCTTCAACAGTAACCAATAAACTATTATAGGCTTACATACAGCCTTGAACTATAACCAAGTGTATATACAATATGTCAATCTCTAACTCGTCAAGAGAATAAAATGGTGTGAAGAATTTTAACATGAAAACTATCAAACTCTGACATAAATACCAAAATGCTCAAAAAATAATATATAGTATTGACAACGTTTAAGGTAAAACAAAATATTCAGCTTGTAGGTAATTGAATGTATCCTGAATAACAGGAAAGTGATGGTTTTGCTATTTCCTTTAGTAGTCCAGAAGCTAAGTCCTATAAATTAACCTTATTCATCACTTTACGGTAAAAGCATGAAACTTTGCACATGTCTTACATTGTAGCTATGATGCTTATGAACATTGTTGGATATGTAGGCACGAAAAAGAAATCCAATATGGCCGCCAAATTAAAGATGCCGACATAAGGGACTGGGAATACAATACCATACACTTAATGATATCTACCAATATGTTACAATTTAGTACATATTGGTGTAGGGTATCAAAAAAAAGCCCAGGGTATTGATTTTTTTTATTAAATATCAGGTTTTCAGCATGTTGTTCACGATTATTCTTACAATTGAAATGTATACCCCCTAACCAATGAAAAATCGACAAATGTGTTCATTGTTTCAAATACACAGAATAGAAACACTAATTGAAGATTTTATGTATTTTGATAGTTCTTGTTATAACTGAATATATTTGGTTGCATTTGACCTGCTTGAAGTTTTTTTTTTGTAGTAAGAATACCAGGAATATGGGAAATTTTAAGACTTGGAGAATTTTCCAAATTTTTACCATATTTTGCCTTTTTTTACCCAATTAAAATTTTACTCATTATTTTTATTGTTATCATTTTATGGAACATTGTTTAAGCTTTCTAATGACTACAAAAAATGGGGAAATTTAAAAGAATAAAACCTCAAAACATTGATAATATTACCCCTACCTTACTTAATTCAACTGAAAATTATGAATTGCAAACACTGAACACCTTTAATTATTTTATTAAAGAATTGTCTGGTATAAATCAGAAGTGATCCCATACAAAAGACGAATATCAGCCTCTGGCTCGCCTAATGTTATTTTTGTTGATTCAGTTTTGAAAATGAGGGAAATTTCGAATTTATAGATTTTCCAAAACATCTCAAGTTTATCATTTTTATCCTTTTGAAATAAACAAAAATATGTTGACATTAAAAAAGACTTTGCCTTCTTGCATGCAACAAATGTTTTGACATCTTACAAACCCCAGATATCTATCACTTCCTTGTTCAAAATATTACGGCACTGAAAAATATAACTCCTACCCCTGACAAATTTGATAAAAAAAAACACACCAATTTGATAAATGGGTAAAACATCACATAGGTAGACAATGTTTTGAGTCAAAGAACTTGCTTCCAAATCAAACATATGCATTTTTATTACTCTTGTTTGTTCCCAATTATTGTCGTTGCCGCAAATTTTTAAAAACAGACCATTACTGATAGTAGATCAAGTTTTATGTCAAACAAAATTTTATCAAAACGGTAAACAATACCATACCAATTCAAGTTTGAGCAGAAATGTATAAATTTGACTGAGAAAAGCTTGAAATCATAATCATAAGCATAGTTTCGTTCAATTTTTATTTTTTTTAATTGATATCCAATACTTATATCCAAGGCATCCCAGGTTGTTTAAACCAATTCTGTAACGGCAGAATATATAAACATGTATAAAAAAAACAGCCCATTTCAGATTTTCAAAATGCTCAGATTATCCCAAATTTTGACTTTTTCACTTTTCTTAAATAAATTTGTTAATATTGAATTTGATTGCGTCAATGAATCAGTAATTCATTGGAGTTCTATAGAACAAAAAGTCCATTAATCTGCGATTTTATCAGCAGAGTTATTCAAAGTTCTGACAGGCGCAAAAATGGGGCGTGGGTAAACATGTTTATTGAGATCTCAACCCTCCCCTATACCTCTAGCCAATGTAGAATAAACAATCACACAGCAATACACGCAGTAAAACTCAGTTTCAAAGAATTTCGAGTCCGATGTTAGGTAACAGGAGAAACTAAGCAAAATGACAAGGATCAACATAAATTAACAAATGACTACTAGCAGTTACGGACATGCCAGCTCCAGACTACAATTAAACTGATTGAAAGATTATGTCTTCATCATATGAAAATTAAGCACAATCCCTACCGTTATATAGTATTATATCATCATACAATATACGAGAAGAATATAACCCGTATCATGCCAACAACTGATTTTAGCATAAATGTGTTTATTTCCGATGCAAGTACCCTACGAATGAATCAATATTTATTCCAAAAAATGCCATCTTTAATGATCTGACAACAGTATCGCAACTATATCCCTTCTGAATAAGTCTGTTTAAATGTTTGGTTAGCTTTTGACTTTTTTGTGCTTTGTATAGACTATGTCATAAAAGATGGGATGTGAATTACCTGAACGTTGATTTATATTTACGAATGATGTCATTGTACCGATGATAAGATTAAGTAAACGTTTTGACATGTTTGTGATATCGATATATATTTTGGTGTTTCTAAAGAATTGAAAGAACTTTTTTTTTCTTTTTTTCAATTTTTTCATGGGGTAGGGGGAATATCTTTCAATTCTTAGAATAATCGTGAACAAAAACATAAAAACCTGGTAATATTCATAACATGGGCTTTCATTTGATACCATACATATGTACTGAACTGTAGCATATTGGTAGAACTCATTAAGTGTATGGTATTGTATTCCCAGTACCTTATGTCGGCCATCTTAAATTTGGTGAAGCGCTTCGAACGCATGGAATTATTTAACGTGTTGTTTTCATTTCTCATATCTCATCTTATTATTTTATTTATATATGATAAGTTTGTATACGAAAAAACACTAGATAACTAATGCCGTCGTTTGTTAACCTTGCAAATCAGCATTGCTAATAGAGACGGTATAACCATATTTTATATACTTGCAATACAATTATCTAATGTGTAATTTTATTTTTCAGGAACTTTTAGACATTTCTAAAAATCCTCCACCAGGTTGTTCAGTAGGTCCAATTACCGATGACAGTAAGTTTACAACTTAGTTAAATGATATTCGCTGATCTTGTTTTATTTTTTCTCAGACATTCGGAATCCCTGGTTTTATCCATGTAGTGCCATTAAAATGTTTGGCCGCTAATCCCTACTTTTCTTTTTTATATTTTAAAAGGGCAAAAGCTACGAGATATAAACAAAATTAAAATATGACTTTTTTGGTTCAATCATTAATGAAAGTGAAATAGTGTAATAATAGTTCGCTTTTAGCAGCCAGTTTGGTTCAATTTTGTCAAAATAAGCTAAGAAACATCGCTGATGAATTATTTACTTGCAAGTGAATAATTCGACCTCATTGAATCCATATTCATGTGACCTTCAATTTAACCCCTAAGCAAGGGATCGGTTACGCATGAATTAGGCGTGTTCAGTTATTAAAATGAAAAGAATGCCAACATTGAAAGTGAAACAAGGGTAAACCATTTTATTGACTGATTCGATCCACAAAACCTCATTCTTAAACAAGTTAAAGCCATGATTAACGTATATTTTCAACCTATATTATAAATTCAAACAGACCTAGAAAAATCCAATTGCACGAGTTCGCTATCTATCTATCTATATCTATAATTATGTTTATATCGGTTTAAATAGCAGTCGGCATACTTCGAACGTCACCTCGATAGTTAATTAGATAGCGTCTAGACTAAAATACACACGAAATGTTGACACATATTATTGAGCCCATGCATTGTAAATTGTTTATTTTAGACTTTTTATAATTTGGATATACGTTTTAGTATGTTGTAAATCAAATATGAGAATTTGAGTAAAATCGAGGAAAATGAATTTGACAGCTAATGCCCCTTTAATTACATGACGATTTAGAAGGTCATTTGTTAATTGTTAACTATATGAAAAAAATAGAGGAAATCATTTGCCGTCAAATTTTCAATTCCAAAATAAGGACACGGACATTCGTCTGCTTTTTTAGGTCCACTATTTATATAATATCAACTTATAACAGTTTTTTTTTTAATTTTGAAACAGAGCAGCGAACATCCTTAAATAATAACTATTGGTTATGGCTTGACGTGTGTCGTGTTCTAGTATCATCAGGGACTTCAAGTAAATTGGCTTTAGCTTCATGTCATCAGGTCTGAAACAATATAATGACGACGTGTAAAATAAAATTATTTAGTAACATTATTAATGTGGTCCGATAACATAGCTCTCTCTTACATGATGGTATGATGTTATACTAAAACCCATATCGGACTTTACAGTTGATTAAAAGTTAAAGCCTGACATTCATTTGAGGAAAAGTGAAATCAAATATATGTAAAACTTGAAGGACTATGGCAGGTTATATACATTCAAAAGCAATATTACCAGGGGCGGATTCCGGAATTTTAAAAGGGGGCGTAATATCCGAAAATGGAATATATATGGTTTATAAAAATTGGACGATTTTATTCAAAAAAAGAATACTCTTTTTCGATCAAAAGGAGAAGGGCCTACTCCCTCTACAGCCCCACTCCTGAATACGCCACTGATTATACTAATCAATTTCCGAATGTTATATACGAATACGAAATCGAATATATATGTAGTATTATAAGCTGCCTAAAATTCTGAGGTACCAGTATATATCTATTTTTTTGTATAATTTCTGTAACACAACGGATACATAAGTCAACCTTTTCTATATAATCTGCATGTTTGATGATAATTGTATACCGTTATTTAAAGTACAATGTAATTGAAATTAGCCATGCAGTGGGAAAATATAGGAAACAATAAACATGTACAATTATCGTCTAGCGCATGCGCCTGTAATCAAAATTTGAGAAACAGCATCGAATGAACCCTAAGACAAGCTTCAAGTTAATTTTGAATCTAGAATTGAGCACGGCCGGTTTTGGTTCCTTAAATCATTTCATACAATTGATACTTGACGAGTACTAAGAGTATTTGTTTTCGCTGTTCACGGTCCATTAAATATATAGCTCTATCTCTAAAGCTCAAACTGTGAAACAGTTAACTGGTATCAAATTGATTGATGTTTCTCTGTGTTTTTATAAATTTAACATGGAACTTTAGGATAAGAACAAATTATCAATATAAGTTCCAATGGGAAGTTCCAACATAGTAGGTCGACCGGGATGAAGAGTTGGTAATTTCTACTGCCATTGAAAAAGAAGGTTTGTTGGATTGAGGGATTTGTAACATGCAGCATTGAGAAGGCAACCAACAAATCACTCAAAGAGTTGATGCAAGGGATTAAGGGGGCGGGGCTTTAAATGACGCTGATGTAAACAATTACAGGTCACCGTACGACCTTCAACAATGACAAAAATGCAAACCGTATAGTCAGCTATAAAAATGAAAAATGTGAAACAATTCAAATGAGTAATCTAACGGTCTAATTTATTATAAATTATAACATTTCAAGTTACGAAAAAACAAATATGATAGACACGAGCCAACGACAACAACTGAATTACAGGTTCCTGACTTTGGACATGTACACAAAAACGTTTTTGTTTAGACTCATGACCATTTGGAGCTAGATATGCTATTACCGACAAAAGTGTTTTTGTATCGTTTAGTTGTTATCTAATTGACATTTACGCACGTTCACGCCTCTTGTAATTTTGTAAAACAAACATTTATTTTGAAAATCAATACATAAAATTGAGAATGGAAATGGGGAATATGTCAAGGAGACAACAACCCGACCAAAGGGCACACAACAGCCGAAGGCCACCAATGGGTCTTCAACGCAGCGAGAAAATCCCGCACCCGGAGGTGGTCCTCAGCTGGCCCCTAAATAAAATTGTGTACTAGTTCAGTGAAAATGGACGTCACCCTAAACTCCAAAACATATAAATGAACTAAAATTTAAAAACTTACAAGACTAAAGCCAGAGGCTCCTGACTTGGGACAGGCGCAAAAATGCGGCGGGGTTAAACCTGTAAAGATGAGGACTTCTTTGAAGACGTAAAATAGAGGTTAAATTAACGATATTGACAGAAACAAGGATCGTTATGTCTCGCCACTGCGACATTAATTTGTTACAAAATGTCTAAGGGCAATGCTAATGATCTTTATATTTTTTTGCAGCACAAACGTCCATACGCTGGAGGGGTATTTTTCGTACGAATAATGTTTCCAAGTAATTATCCGTTCAAACCCCCCCAAAGGTATGTATGTATATTATTGTAACATTGTTTTCTGTAGGTAATACATATCCGATCTGAGCTGGTAAATTTTCATATAAAAAATATGATAGCGACAACGATGAAGTAGATTCGTGATGATTTCTTCCAATAAGATTGTACATTTAACAATCCGAACTGAGATTGAAAACAATTCTAAATTTATATTATGTATTCATAATATTTTAATAAGAATCGAACCACGTGACTGAGTTCAAATGAGTAAAATGTCTCAAATTTTTAGGAAAATTTCTATTTTGTCAATATAATGGAATTCTATATGACTGTTTTACGAGTGAGAGGTTTAACTAGCTATCAAACCAGGTTTAATCCAGTATTTTCTACATAAGGAAATACATGTACCAAGTCAGAAAAATGACGGTTGTTTTCCATTCGTTTGATGCGTTTGAGTCTTCCCCCTCATCAAATTTTCACAAATTTGGATGAGAACCTAGGGTTTTGTATAATGGCTTCAAGTAAACAAGTGAAAAATAAGTTACAACAAAGATACAAAGTAACATCAAACGGAGAAAAAAATATAATGTAGTAAATCTAGCATATATTGATAATTATTTAAGCCACAAGACATTAGGACAATCATGCATAAACATTACCTTACATTAATCCAGTCATCTGAGTTTAAAATACATTAGAATTGTGAAAATTCTAGGGAAAAAAGTATTGTGTAAATTTATAAACTGATGATAAGCAAGGTTGTGTTTTAGTAATTTTTCTGTGATTTGATTGATGATTATTTTTTATCATTTCAGGTTAAAGTTACAACAAAAATATACCATCCAAATATTAATGAAAATTCAGGAGAAATATTTTTAGATGTATTACGCTCACAATGGTCGCCTTGTTTAACTATATCAAAATGTAAGCTTGTGTTTATTGTTTGACTCTCTTTTTTGTTAGAAAAAGGTATATAGCTAGGAGTCAATTAAAATTTCAAACAGAACGTAGAAAATACCCACGGAACCAGCGGGATTTCATTTAATGATTTTTTCATCGCTTTTTATCTTTAAGTCGGTTATTTATTTATTACAATACAACAAAGCTTGAGATGACTGTGAACTCCCGATATACTGCGTTTAAAAATACAACTGACAGTTCATTATCTTTTTTTACTTCATGGGTTTGGTTGCATCTGTTGCCACTGATTCCTGGTGAATACTAAAAAAAATCGTTATTATCCGTAAAAAGACAAATATATTAGGTCAAATAAACACAGCGTAAAAGACTTCAATCAATCAAAAGTCCACAATACGATACAAACGAAACTTCAGATTGTGTAACACTAACCCCGCAAAACTTTAGGCATGAACTCGTGTGTTCCGGAAGGGTAAGTTGTTCCTGTTTCATTAGTGTCAAATTAATCCCGGTTGCCGGTTGCAATGGAGAGAAAAATATGGAGCACGTGTGTTGAATATAAAAAAATACAATAAAACAGCGACAGAATGGACACGAAAATATGCCATGTGACATGTGGTCAACTGGAATTTAGTATAAATGGTTTTTATTTTAATTTTGTTAATTTCTACATTTTGTTACTAAATATATTTTCGTTTACAAACATTTTATAGACGCTATTTTTGTTTTATATATTTGTAAAGATTAAATTCTGTGAAGTTTATTTTCTCCCACTTTCTATTAGTCCACATGTTGTTCAGTGAAGGCTTTGTTTAAGTGCAGTTAAGATTAAAATGTCTTGATAAGCAGTTTTAAATTCTTACAAGATAATGGCAAAGATTGTTCCAAACATATTATACAATTATTTTGATTATTTTGTTTTCTGAAAATATTCACATATTTTTCACTTTTGAAAAGAATTTTAGTACTTTGAAAGACCACTTTCGAGTTATGTCCTTCAGGAAAAGTTCGTTGAATATGCATGCCTTTATGACGTTATTAACCAGATAGACCGCATGTATCCCTGCAATATTAAAGTTCATGAAGCGTTTTCGTGATCGTCATTAAGCAGGATAAACTAGGTACTTAACCACAATTCCTAATGACAGCAGTGCTAATAATCAATTATAAGAATTAAATTTTTCGAATAATTCGTGCAATATATAGCATCATATATTTTCTCAACCGCTTGCTCAACATGGGAAGGAAGTGACGATGCCCCTAAACGCACGAATGATGTTCACTGAAACCAAAGTTTTTGACGGAAATGCAATGAACTCGAAGGTGGTCGATTTGCTGTTATTTATCAACTTGGTTATATATCGTGTTAATATATTTATGGAGAGAGAGAGAGAGACTGCATAATAATAGACTTGGATAATTTGTCGACAAAATGGCTAAAAATATCCCTATAAGTACTTCCCATAAGCACCTTAGAGTAAACTTCAGTAGTGACGCAAAATGGAACAATGGAACAATCATACTGACAGTATACTTATAAATGTAAACTTGAGTACCGGCTGACTCGATATAATTTAGAAAAAAATCTACCTAGTTTTTATTAGACCCATTTTTGAATATGCCACGGATAATTCTGATATAATTCTGAGATATGTTATTCAAATAAATTAGAAAACTTGCAATTCGGAAATAAAATTAATAAATAATTAAACCAAAGCAAAGTTACAACGTATTATCTGTACGGTCCGAGGAAACTGAATATTATTTTAACTCAGTTGCGATGTTCCGCCTCATTTTAAAACTTTTACCTTTTCAAAGCTAACATTACAGGGGATCCTTCCTGTCAGTGTGGGTCTGATATTGAGGATGTTCATCATTTCTTCTTCGTTTGTTCAAAACACACTACATGTAGAGAAACTTTACTCTATATTTTTGTCTTTGCGTTGTCATAAGATTTTTGCAATTGGCGTCGTCGGTTTCTATTCGACTTATGAGTTTTGAATATCCCATTGTTTTCTTCCGACTTTTTATTTTAATTACTTTTAAAATATTTTATGTGCGTAACTTTAGGAACTTGTGATACCTTAAAACAATACAGAAGCGATTGTTATCATGTTATAACATTGCAGGGTTATTCATGTTTTATAAACCACTAGAAAGTATCCTGCGCATGAAGAATACCTTCGACTCTTAAAGAACGACCATTTGATAATCGGCAGGGGATGGGGGGATCGAGATTTTTTAGGGGACGAATACTCATTTTCACCGATTTATTTTTTCGCCTTGCAAAAATTACTTTTACTTTTGTACACAAATGTTTCCTGCATTTTCTATGGCAGAATCTTCATTTTTATCTTGTCGTTATTTTTTTTAGTCTTTATTAGAACAGAATATTCATTTTCAACATCCACCTGCCTTCCCCTCCTGAAGATCGAATGGTTATTCCTTTTATTTTTCTTAATTTTCGTTTGAATGAATTTACCAGTAAATAAAATAGTCTCGTAATTGAAATAATCATCGTTGATAAACAAAGACAGATTAAAACAAGGAAATTAAATATTCTCGACAGTCTATAATATTTGTTTAATTGGATTGTTGTAAAATGAGACAACACCAATAACATCAAAGCGTATCGTAAATACCCGAATGTGTTAATTGTTAGTAATTATTGATTACACGGAATAACAAAAGGATCTGAAAGGCTGAACAAAGTTAAACACAACTGGATCCCTTCTTACATCTAAGTGCCTAGTGTAAGTATTTGTGACGTCAAAGACTTTCTAGAATTTTCTATGTATAAAAAAATTTAATTTTCAAAAATACATACAAAATGCAGTTTGTAAAGAAACGCAGGGAGGTTTATGCTTGTAAGAGCTTATATGCCATTCCGAGTTCAACCTGATAAATCTAAACAACAATTGTTGTATATCACCTTCAGTAAGAGCCAAGCAATTTCCAGAAAATCGAAAAATTCGTTCATTTAATATTATAGATATATTAGAATTATTCGGTATAACGTAACAAATATTTTATGAGCCATATGTCAACTTATGCACCGTTCGCGTTTCGGTCCTCTCCCAGTGGCCTTTTTTTTTAAATATTACTCTCAATTTGATATGCAAATGAAAAATGTATAGACCAATTCTAAAAATGATAACGGTGCTTTCCTGATCTTTGAATTATTTTTTTTAATTTTCTTAATACGATTTGAGCCATGATTTCGTTACAACAAAATGTATACAAATGGCGGAAATTCGATTGAAAAAGGTAAGTAATCACAAAGTAAACAAAATCCTTCTTTCATGCAATCAACCAAAACGAAAACGAAAACTACACCAACTTACAATTTCTTTCATCATGTAATACATATTAATAGTTTCTGAAATAAGGCCAACTTTTTGCAGGCATTTAGATATAGATTCTGACTAGAAGCAAAATAGAGGCGAAAGATACCAAGTCGAAAACAAACTGACAATGCTATTGCAAATGCATGAATACAAAAAAAAATGCTCACATTTTATAGGGATTATTGCTTTTAACAAGTTTAAATGACAGTTTTTGATTACTTTTTGTGTGTTTTGCCTTTTATCTCAAACACTTTTTTTTAGAGAGGCAGAAACTTTAAACAACGTAAATTAGCAGCAATGCAAGATTTGCAAACATGCTTAGTGACCGAAATCATTAGACGACTCTTTTTAGGAGTTATTGTCCTTAATGACAATTTTGAATATTTTTTGTTGTTTTGCCGAATAAACGAAAACTACAATAGGTATGAACTAACGAAAATCACCAATACACAAAAAATTATAATATGACAGACATAATTGGACGTTTTCCTAAAGGAGTTATTGTCCTTTAATGTCATTTTTTTAATAATATTCAAGTTTTTGCTAACTATTTCGAAACCAATTATAGATATATTTTTGACCGATGAGCGATTCAGGCTATTAGGAGCCTCTTGTTCCAACATAACCATACCGAAGCTACTTGATCGGGACGTCATCTCTAATTTAATATTTGATAGACGCTTTATATTAGGAACTTATGGAATTTTCTAAATATCCTCGTCTAGGTTGTTCGTCAGGCCCAATAGACGATAACAGTAAGTTTGTAAACTGCATTTTGAGTATTATAGGCTAATATCATATAGAGGTTTAATACATGGAAAAGGTCTGATTCAAAAACAGTTATCAAATTAAATAGACAACCTGTTTCAAATAGTTAATTCAAATTTATTTCAGTGTGTTCCGATCTGGATACCGTTTCACTTTAAATTGAAAGAGATGTGGGAACTATTTCAGTTTAATCAAAAGAGATGTGGGGATTAGGTCAATCAAATAGCAAAAGATCGATACAAATAACCAAAAAACACCAATAGAACAACTTAATGTCGTTAACAACAACCAGGTGTCTTTACAAAGTATCAAGCTCTAAATTGTCTTGAATCTATAAAATTTGTTAATATTGGAAAGGGGGAGGGGATAACGGATAGCACAACAACCACCAGCACCCATCTCTTTCAAAACAATGGACTAATAAATACAGACAAATAACGACGGAACATAGGGTTCAGATAAATTTGTACTAACCAACCAACAATTAGGTGGTAAGATAATTTAATCATGAACTATCAAAGATCTGCCATTGCACAAAAGTTCAAAATCACCAAAACACATTAAGGTATGGCATAAGACGACTACTTATTGCGTTCATTGATTGGGATAGACATGGTCGTGATTAATGAAAAACATCTTTACTGAATCTGGAGCTGATGTCAATTAGCTATGATAGATTAAATCAGATAAACGATTGATAAAATGTAAAAGCATTATATTTGAGATATATATAATAACTAATAATGTATAATTTTAGTCTGAAAAATTTAAAAGATATCTCAGTCATTTATCTATTTCTGTCTGTGAATTTGTTAAAAAAAATGAAAACAACATGTTATAAATTTAATGCGCCCGAAGCAGTTTTCTGGATTTACCTTCATCAGGAACGCTCAAAGCCGAATATTTGAAATCCGTGGGTGTATAAGAACCAAAATAGTTGAAGAGCTATATGACCAAAAAGGAACCTAAAATAAAACCAAATCCATCTAAGGACAACTTTGCCTGAGGGAGTTGAAACCTCAGTTTCTTTATAATTTAAAAATTTATAAACGGACAATTTTAGTAATGTTTGTTATAAATCATGTCAGTACCGAGGTACTGACTACTGAGCTGATGCAACCCTCGTGTAAGTGTTTAGACATATTAACGTAGGAAATTGAATTTTAGTCTATTAATTTTTAAATTAGTTGATGAACAAGGAGACAACACTTATAAAACCTGATCGTTAAAACCCGAATTTGTTAACTGTTAGTAGTAAGTAATGATAACAGAGAAAACAGAAGAATCTGAAAGGATGTAATTAGCAGACTTAAGAACACTAAAACACAACTTAACTGGATAGGTCTTTACATCAAATATGAATATTTGTAACTTCAAAAACATTCCATAATTTTCTATTGTTGGGAAACTTTAATTTCAAATGTAAATACAAAATGCATTTGTAAATAAACGCATAAAGATTTATGCTTGACAGAGCTTATATGTTATGCGAGTTCAACCTGAACAATCTGAACTACGGGTATTGTATATCTATTTAAGTGATTGCCACGCAATTTCCAGAAAATCATTCGTTTAGTATAATAGATAGATTAGAATTATTAGGGATATCGTACAATATAATTCATGTGAATGAATTAACGCATTTCGGTCTTCACCAATTTTTTTTTTTTCTTTTTCAATATAACTCTCAATTTGATTTACAACTAAAATGTTGTGTATCAATTCTAAAAATAATATCGGTGGTTTTATGACCTTTAAATTCTTTTGTATGCTTTCAATATCATTTTCGGGAAACTTAGTTTTTCATAAATGCATACAAATGGCCGAAATTCGATTGGAAAAGGTAAGTAATTACATAATGAACAAAAACACCTTTTCATAAATTTTCAGCAATACAAGATCTACGAACATGCTAAGTCAGAAAACTATTAAACGACTTCTCATAGATGTTGCCCTTAAAGACAAGAAGCTACCATGACGAATTTAGACTTTATTTTCGAGATTCTGTCAAAAATATTGAAAACTATAATAGATTTAACAAAAAACAATGTCATCAATATAAAGTTTACACAAATTCCAATACGCTTTACCGTTATTTGTTCCAATCCGGATAAATTCTGATATTACACAACTTTTTCATCCAGTTGAACCTACCTGGGGGCCTTGTTTACACAATGTATTTTGCACAAAACTTTTCAAAGAAACATTTTTTACCATCGTAAACACTTCAAACAAAGCATTTTTATGATAAAATCATTTGTGTATTAAAAAAGTGGATTATAATCAATCAAAGTTTCAAATTGTTCGCTTTTTAACTTTTTTCCTCCCTCAGCTCGTTACTGGTGACCTTTGTTTTAGCGACACTTGACAAAAAACAGGAATTTGTCTAAGTGACGGTTTTTTCCTGATTGGACTAAATAGCGATAAGGTGTATATGACTGAGACCATTGGATGACTCCTTCAAAAAGGTAACTGTCCTAATAAACACAACAAATTACTTAAAAGCTTTACTTGATTCTTCCATAGATACAAAGATTTGGTTTGCAAGTTTGGCTCTACCTGTAGTAAACTTATTTTAAACGGAATAGAACATCCTAAATTTTACGGTGATGTTGTTAACCGAGCCCAGAAATTTAGATACGATCCGGGTAAACTTATCGATCCTTTAAATAAACTGGTTACAAATTTAACACTGTTATTAAATCTTTTATTGGTATAAATATTGATTTTGTTATCAGTAAATTAAAACGCTACTAAATATTAGTACACATATGTACTTTCACGGTACTACAATCTATCGAAACCTATATTTTGGCATTGCACAAGATCATGTTCTTTTCTGATTGTTATTTACGTCTTTACACTAAATTCATTGGATGTTGGATGTGTACTGATTGATATTTTAGTCTTATATATATGATTTATTTGTTGTTATTGGCTTTGGACTAGCTGTCAGGAACTGCGAGTACTCTCATGTATGTGCTTAGTGTTTCTTTTTTTGTGTGTGTGTGTTAGGGATAAATACCCTGCCACGTCCGGTCTGTGTTTTTGTTTGATGTTTTTCTGTATTGTATCGATCTGATGAGTTAAGCCTTTTTCAACTAGTTTTTTCTTATGTTGTGTTGTAACACCACTGTCACAGGTTAGGGGAGGTTTGATCTCTCACAAACGTGTTTAACCCCTCCACATTCTTTATGTGCTTGTCCTAAGTCAGGAGCCTGTAGTTCAGCGGTTGTCGTTGGTTCATGTCTGTCACATTTGTATTTCGTTTCCTTGTCCATCCTTGACAATTTTTGTTGCGGTGTCTCTAATTCAACAATTGATGATATTGTATTAATATGATGTGTAATTTTTCTTATAGGAACTTTTAGAAATTTCTAAAGATCCTCCTCCAGGTTGTTCAGCTGGCCCATTAGATGATAACAGTAAGTTAGAAACTGATGGAATAATACTATTAAGAGGTTTAATTTATGGACTAGATATGGGAACTGTTTCACATTACACGAAAGCATCGACACAAATATCAAAAAGACACCTAAAGGGCAATTTAACGTCTCAAATAACAACAGGGTCTCTATATAACACATCCATCTCTAAATTGTCTCGAATCTATAAAATGCAAAATAATTTACAGGATAACATGAATTATGAAATATAAAGGAGAGCACAACATATTACATCAACAATCAGCACCCAACAACTTTGAAATGAAGACGAAACAAACAATAACGAAACGTATGGTCCAGATAAATTGACTTTGTACAAGCCCAAAAAATGAAGTGGAAGGATAATTTAATCATAAACTATCAAAGATCTGACATTGTCCAAAAGTTCAAAATCACCAAAACACATTGAGTTATGGCATAAGACGACCACTGACGACGTTCATTGCTTAGGATAGGTACATGGTCGCTATTAATGATAAATATCCTTCCTGAATCTGGAACTGCTATGGATGAGGGTCTGGATGGGGGTATATAGAATAGAGAATAATGGGTGAAAAATATAAAGAATAGAGAAAGTGGACCAAAATTGTAAAGAATAGAGCACAATGGGGTGCTAAGATATAAAGAATAGAGAATAATGGACAAGCAAATAAAGAATAAAGAAAAATGTACTAAAATTAAGAAATACAGAAATTAAGGACCCCCATCCGCATCCTCAAGGATTAGCTATAATAAATTAAATCAGATAAACGATTGATTAAAATATAAAAGCGTGATATTTGAGATAAATATAATAATTAATATGCATAATTTTAACATGTACAATTTAAAAGATATCTAGGTCATTTATTTATTTCTGTCTGTGAATTAATTTGTTAGTTACCTATAATTCTGAGTATCCAACGAATTTCTTTTTCTTACACAAATTCTACAATTATGAGGGATACATGATCACCTATCTTTTTAGTATCTGTTCTGAATTAAAATCAAAGACAGGTTGAAAGTGTACAATACTTTACATTTTTTAAATGAATATTCATGTAAAAAATTACAAAACAGAGTCCTCAACCGAACGATATTAAACCTGCACTTTGTACTTTTCAGTATTCATATGGGAAGCCATGATAGCTGGACCAGTGAGAACGGTCTAAGTTTAAATGGATTAAATCGTAATAGGAGTTGTTTGTTAAGGTCAAATGGATCACTCGTATACATATTTTGAAAATAAAACACAGAAGAAAAACATCAAGAAGTTTATTTCACTTTAAAAAAAATACATGAAGACCTAAGTCTAAATGCAATATCAGTATTGCCTGAAAATATGACCATTTCAGAATCAAAAAGATTATGGGTAATTTTATTGTTCGAACCCCAAAATGAAAATAATGTTATGTCATTGGTGGATTTTTCCATTGTTTAGAACGTTTTTAACCAATCATGACGTTTTGGTGTACACTTTTGAAAATTACCCGGAATGCATTCTTAAACGGCGAATTAACGATGTTGATTACTATATTCGTTAATAATGGAACCCTATTTAATCCAAGATTAAAATATTAAAAGAGCAAACACTTAATGGTACATCTGATTGTACAAATTGAACCATACTGATAATACAGTTAAAGGGGCATAAGCTGTCAAATTCATCTTCACCGATTTAACTCAAATTCTCATATTCGATTTATAACATACTAAAACGAATATAAAAATTACAAAAAGTCTTAAACAAACAATCAACAATCGTGTGTATTTTCGTCTAGACGTCATCTAATTAACTATCGAGATGACCTTCGAAGACTGCCGACGGTCATATAACCCGATATTAACATAAATATAAACATAACCTGATAGCGACCACGTTCAATTGGATTGTTGTAGGTCTGTTTGATTTCATATTATGGGATAAAAAGTATATTGATCATTGTTTTTACCTGTGTTAGAATGATTTTTTTGTGGATCAAATCAGTCAACCAGATGAATCATTCTTGTTAAACTTTCAATGTTGGAATTCTTTTCCTTTAAATAGCTGAATATATGCGTAACCATCTCCAGCTAAGGGGTTAAAAAAAGGTCACATGAATACAGATTCAAAGAGGTCGAACTATTCACTTGCAAGTGAATAATTCATCAGCAATGTTATTTATCTTATTTTGACAAAATTGAACTAAATTGGCTGCTAAAAGCAGATTAGCATTTCACTATATCACTTTCATTAATGATTGAACAAGAAAAAACATATTTTAATTTTTGTATATCTCGTAGCTAATGACCTTTTAATGTATGTAATTTGTAGTATGATGATGAAAAAAGTCCTTACGCTGGAGGAGTATTCTTCTTACGATTAACGATCCCCAATAATTACCCTTGGCAACCTCCAATGGTAAGTCTTTTTTAATACGACTGCAAAATTTTTGCGGCCGTATATTGGTTTGCCGATGTCGTCGTCAGCGTCGTCGTCGTCGTCAGAAGACATTTGGCTTCGGGACAATAACTTATGGATTTCTATGAAATTATACCACAAGGTTCCAAACAACAAAAGGAAGATTCTGAATGATTTAACGAATTATTGTTCAAACAATTTAGGAATTAGGGGCTTAAAAGTCATACCTCAAAAGAAAGTTTGGGATTGGTTTTTGGGGTTATGGCTCAAACCGTTTAGAGGATAAGGCTAAAATGGGGCCAAAAATCAAGGCTCCAAAGTTTTTTTGTTTCCGTACAATAGCTTGAGTATAAGTCTATCGATAACTATGAAATTGTACCACAAGGTTTCATACCAAATAAGGATGATTTGGTTTAATTTTGGGGATTATGGCCCAAAAGGTTAAGAAATTAGGGGCAAAAAAGGGGCAAAAAAGTCCACTTTTCTAATACTTTGCATAAAGTGGTAATTTCTTGACCAATGTCAATGGGGTTTATTCAAAATCTTGAATTCTTGGGGTTCTTTGATATGTTAAATCTAAACGTGTATTTAGATTTGGGCCTCGTTTTAAAACTGGTCTACATTGAGGTCCAAAGGGTCAAAAATTAAACTTTTGTAGGTTTTCGTCAAAAATTGAATTATTGGGGTTCTTTGATATGGCGAATCTAACCATGTGTTTAGGAATTTGGGGCTGATTTATGGGGTGAAGGCCCAAATCATTTTGGAATTAGGTGTCAAAAAGGGACCAAAGAACTAGCGTTTTCTGATTTCTGGACAACAACTTGAGTGTTAGTCTATGGATTGTTGTTTAATTGTGACACAAGGTTTTATTCCATAAAAGGAAGGTTGGGATTGATTTTGGGGGTTATGACCCAAATGGTTCAGGAAATTAGGGGCAAAAAGCAATACTTTTGTAATACTTTGAATAAATTGCTTATTTCTTGACCGATTCCAATGGAGTTTAATATATATAGTAATTCAAAGTCTTGAATTATTTGGGTTTTTTAATATGCTGAATCTAACTGTGTATTTAGAATTTGGATTTTGGGCCCTGTTTTCTTTGAATTGGTCTATATTAAGGTCTAAATAGTCTAAAATTCAGCTTTGTTTGATTTCATCAAAAATTGAATCATTTGTGTTTTTTGATATGCTGAATATAACCGTGTATGTAGATTTATTTTTTTATTTTGGGCACAGTATTCAAGATGATCCAAATTGGGGTCCTTAATTAAACTTTGTTTGATTTCATCAATAATTGAATAATTGGGGTACTTTGAAATGTCTAATCTAACAGTGTTTTAGATATTTGATTTTGGACCCGGTTTTCAAAGTTGGTTCAAATTAGGGTCCAAAATTACACTTTGTTTGATTTCATCAAAAATTGAATTATTGGTGTTCTTTGGTGTGCCAAATCTAACAGTGTTTTATATTTTTGATTTTGGACCCGTTTTTCAAACTGGTCCACATTAAGGTCCAAAGTATCAAAAATTAAATTGTTGGGATTCTTAGATATGCTGAATCAAAGCATACGATTAGATTTTTGATATTGGGCACAGTTTTCAAGTTGGTCCAAATTAACGTCCAAAATTAAACTTTGTTTGATTTCAACAAGATTAAATGTAAATGGTTCTTTGATATGCTTAATCTAACCGTCTGTTAAGATTTTGGATTTTGGGTCCCGTTATCAAATTGGTTTACATTTAGGTCCAGAGTTCAAAATTAAAATTTGTTTAATTTCTTTAAAAATTGAATTGTCGGAGTTCTTTGATATGCTGATTCCATCCATGTATAAAGAATTTGAATATTGGGCCATAATTAGTAAAAGTCCAATTTTAAATTATTTAAGTAATTAGAACACATTCATTCTGTGTCAGAATCTATAATGTATCACATATTTAATAAAATCCAGATTCAGAGATGTATTGCACAATTAATAGAAATTGTAAGTAGAGTCATAGTTACAAATAGATATAGCATCAAATCAGTCTAGATTTAGACAAGAAATTATGTATAAAGGTAAGTTTTGTAGAGTTTTTAAAGACTTTGTATTCAGTCTTAATTTTAACCCTTCAGAATGAAAGTTTCATATCTTCTCTGAGTTATAAAATGGTTAAGTAGAGCTGTTTATCTGTAATCTAATGCTGATATAGGGAAAAGTAATATTACATGTAGAGATGATTGTGTCATGTTTCTGATATTACCACTCCAGGACAGGAAAATAAAGTCAATTGAAATTTTGGTTATTTTAACATTTTTATTTACTAATTGTGAAAATTAAATATTAAAATAAATGAAGGAAAGTTTGTGATGTTTTATTTCCCAACACATTTTCTAATGTGTGTATTTGTTTGATTATTTTGTATTTCTTTGTTTGTTATATTTCAAAGTATTTTAAGAGGGCCCCAGGGGAGATTAGTTTTACAGCTAACAGTTTAGCCCTCTTTAGATAAAGAATTATTATTATTTTGACATTTTAATTTTTACTTCCTATAAAAACTTCACACAATTTGTATTACATATTTACATTTGTAATTGACTAAATACTCACATATATGAATAAAGATAAGTGTTGTGTATTTACTATAAATTCATTTATGCAACAATTACTACCTATTATCAAGAAAACAAAACAGGTGATATTCATCAACTAACATACTTATGATTGGGGTGACAAATTATTTGAAATTTTGGTGTTTTCTAAATGACATGATTGATATAAGCTGATTTTCATTTTGTAGGTCTGTATGAATGAGGAATGAAATTTTGGAAATTGTTTTCTTTTTTTTTTCTTTTTTTTTTCATATATATAATTTTATCTTATTTTTTTTTTTTTTTTTTTTTTTGTAAATTTTTTAAAGAACTTTGTGTTAGGTTTGTTTGTTATTCTGTATAAGTTAATTTTCAGAATGCTAAGTATATATCTTTTTTATATTTTTTTTATGAAGCGAACCCCTTGAAAAACTAAGCTCATATTGACCATTCATAAATAAAGTTATTAAATGCTTGGTATACTTGGATATGCTGAATGTGCCCAAATCGTGGTCCAAAATTAACATTTGTTTGATTTCAACACAAATTTATATATGGGGTTCTTTGATATGCCGAATCTAACGTTGTATTTAGATTTTAGATTTTGAGCCCTGTTATTAAGTTGGTCCACCTTGAGGTCCGAAGAGTCAAAGTTAAAACTTTGTTTGGTTTCATCAAAAATTAAATTCTTGAGGTTCTTTGACATGCTGAACCTAACCAAGTATTTTGATTTTGGATATTGGACCATAATAGGTAAAAGTCCAATGTCAAATTTTTCAGTTCTTTGGTCCCATTCATTCTGTGTCAGAAACCTATGATGTGTCGTATCAAGCTGCGCCCCGCGGAGCATTTTACTATTGTTTAGATTAAGTAGTTTGCGTTATAATTCAGTAAAGTAAATCTAGATCTAGCGTTACTCATCAAAGTGATCAATACTGACTTGTGCATTAAAAAGGGGGAGTCCTGTAAATACGATTCTAATATGAGGACCTTATTTCGATTTGTAAAGAAAGCCGTATTCTAATGTGCACAAATTATGTTTGACACATGCGCACAAACTTACTGTTTACATTCTCGTTATTTTCATTTTTATTCTATAAAGTTTATATATAATGACTACCCATGTTAAAATGAGCATAGAGTATGACATAAAGGAATTATTTCTTAACTTTTGCCTTTTGTTCTCCAATATAAATGTGTTTAGTAGTGTTGGATTAATGTTGTCTGATATATATTTTATGATTTTAGGTTAAATTTCTCACAGATATTTACCATCCAAATGTTAAACAAAGCTCGAGGGATTTGTGTTTAAACATACTTAGTTCAGGGTGGTCGCCAGATTTAACCATATCAAAATGTAAGATGGTAGATTTAGTTTCAACATGCTGAGTGGAATACTAAGTCCATCAAGTTTTAAATATTTAAAAAAAACTGTCACAAAAGATGGTGGACGATACCAAGTGGTCAAATTGGGAAAAACAATACTGGGTTTTTTTTCTGATAGATTTGTATATTCAGATATATCCTTGATTTCGTTTTTATAATGCAAACGTCATTTAAACAACAAGCTGGCAAAAATATGTATTAATAAAGGTGTACAGAATAACATATCACAAAAAAGAAAGTATAATTAAAATATTCAAGAATATGTTACTGTATAACATAAGGTAAAAATAAATTGTTATCTTGTAACCAAGAGATGCTGAATGATATCACAGGGATATTCAAATGCATAAGTCAAAAACCAACTTACATGGCAAAAACGAAAAATCACAAAAAAAGATAAACAACAGTTTACAAAACACTTCATAAAAACTTGAAACTAAGCAACACGAACCCCACATCAAGTGATTGTATATGCTTCGAAAGAGTACCCGTCATATTTTTAAGTACAAAGAAAGAATCTGTAATACAAAATATTAAACAATATTTCTCGGTTGTCAAAGAACCTTATGTTACCCCTTAGTTTGTTTCAATGTCTGTGCTTTTGCTTTAGTTTTCAATACTGTATGTTGTCATTTATCATCAGCTCAGCTGGCTATGATGCATATGAGCTTGTGTCATCTTTTTGCGTCCGTCGTCTGTCGTCCGTCCGCCAGTTAACTTTTTACATTTTAATCTTCTCCTCTAAAATCACATGAACAAATGACACAACATCTATGTTGTTTGGTATAGGACATGTCATACTTACAAACTTCTTCGAAACTGTTTGACTGATTTGTCTAAATTTTTATATTATAGTCCTATACTAAGTTTGTAATGTTGATGTTGATTAGAAATGAAAACAAAACTACGACTGCAGCATATATGTAATACAGGGTCCTATGGGAAAATACAAACATCCTCTCTCTAAACATGGTTAGATAGATTGAAAAGAGAGGCGAAGGATACCAAAAGGATATTTAAACTCATAAGTCGAAAATAAACTGAAAACGCCATGGCTAGAAAAGAAAAAGACAAACAGACAAACAAAGTAATTAAAACACAACTTAGAAAACCTAAGACTGATAGCAACACGAACCCAACCAAAAAATGGGAGTGATATCAGGTGCTCAGAAAGGGTAAGTAGATCAAGCTTCACATGTGGCACTCGTCATGTTGCTCATGCTAGTACAAACCCGGAGATATGTCTTATTCGGCAGGTCACATTCGCGGAAAAGGGGACAGGATTGTAGTAACGACAATTGGAACATATCTATTGTCATCTGTGAAACGGATATTCCATAAAGGTCAACCAACTCGTGATGGCGTCCGTTAAATTTAAGAAGGGAAGATTTCAACTTCATTACTTAGAACTATTGATTAAAAAGCTTCCTTGTGAGCAGCAACCCTTTATCATGGAAACTATGATACGAAATACAAGCCCTGGAATATCCTATCACCTGATAGATGTATACTCCGTATGTAGGAGCTTCTGGAATGTTGAAAGGATAATTTGGCTGATTAATCATATGATGACCCTCCTCTTAGTTTGTAAATTTTATTTTGATCGGAAATCTAAAAGTTACCACCACGGGATAGAGTTTACAAAGGACCTTCTTGAAAGTACTTACAAACAACTTTATTTTTCTTTCACTGTATAGAAGACTGAATTAATTTTGTGCCTGAAATATCAGATAATGGCAAAAGTGCGCGTGCTCGTGCCGATCCAAAAACTATGATTGCTGCCACCGCAAAACATAGTTTAACTTAGTGCCTTAAAGGAAATTGAAACAAAGAGCTTCTTCTCAGGAACTGGTTGACAGATGAAATATTGTTATGCCTGAATCATCAGATAGAAGTGGTATTTAATGATTTTTTGGTGCTTACTTTTCAATTTTAACCTTCTCATCTAAAACCACTGAGGCAACTGAAACCAAACTTTGCTTTAATAATTCCTGAATATTTCACTTTCAGAATTATGCTCGATGATTCCTTCAAAAAACCAAGATGGCCACCGTTACTAAACTAGAAATGATACAATTATAACGTTCTGACATATCGCAAGATTCTAAATGGCAAGTTAACGCGTGTTTTCTTTTGGTAATTTTGGCATTCCAGTAATTATTTTTTGCTCCAAATGATCACTGCATATAAAAATAGAAAATATGGCCAAACAAATGGTTTTACAATCTTCACCTCCGAAAAAACCTGACCGAATGAACCAAACATTTTTTTGGAATAGTATTTGTGTGGTCTGCTTTCAGAATCATGTCTGTTGACCCCAGCTACCAACTAGTCATATAATTGATGCAAACATAGGTTTATAACATATACAAAGCTTCAATTGGAAAACGCGATTGATGCATGTTGTCAAATGTTAATTTAGGCTTTCCAGTTATGATATTTAATGGCTACTGTTGTTTATAATTGAAAATTTAGCAAAAAAGGACTTAACTATTTTGTTGTCTGAAACTGCTGTACCAAATAGGACCAAACTCTTCTGGGAGAAACCTGAGGTTGTTCTCTTTGATAATTTTGCCAATGATCCTGCCTGTCAACCTAGATTGCCATCACTGAAAATAAACCCAATTCAAACCTCGGGTTATGAAAAGACTTTCAATCGCAAGTAATAGAGATAAAGGATACTACAGATACAGTTAAGTCTGCCTCATATCTTGACTTACATCTAGAAATTGACAATGAGGGTCGGTTGAAAACAAAACTTTACGACAAAAGAGATGATTTCAGCTTCCCAATTGTGAACTTTTCATTTCTATGTAGCAACATTCCAGCAGCGCCTGCATACGGAGTATATATCTCCCAATTGATACGATATTCCCGGGCTTGTGTTTCCTATCATGATTTCCTTGATAGAGGATTGCTGCTCACAAGGAAGCTATTAAACCAAGAGTTCCAAATGTTGAAGTTGAAGTCATCCCTTCGTAAATTTTATGGACGCCATCACGAGTTGGTTGACCGTTATGGAATAACCGTTTCACAGATGATATCGGATATGTTCCTTATGTCGTAACTACAATACCCTTCCCTTTTCACGAATGTGACTTACCGAATTAGACTATGTACCGGATTTGTAATAACATAAGCAACTCGACGGGTGCCACATGTGGAGCAGGATCTGCTTACCCTTCCGGAGCACCTGAGATCACCCCCAGTTTTTGGTGGGGTTCGTGTTGCTTAGTCTTTAGTTTTCTATGTTGTGTCATCTGTACTATTATTTGTCTGTTTGTCTTTTTATTTTTGGCCATGACGTTGTCAGTTTGTTTTCGATCTATGAGTTTGACTGTCCCTCTGGTATCTTTCGTCCCTCTTTTAATGTAGTTATGTTGTCATTTGTCAAATTTTTAATATTTTTTCAGTTTGACAGTTACGTCACATGTGAAAATTCAGTTTTATTCTTGGCTATCGTGAATCAAGTGTTCGAGCTTCTGTTTTTTTTTTTTTGCTTTTTTTTTTAATATGTCCATTATGCTTCAACTTATAACAGTTTATATATGATCTGTCCTAAAACCCCTGTTTTTATTTCAAATTTTCCTATTCAGTCAAGTCTAGGTTCAGGTAAAGTACTTGTGCAAATGGTTAAGGAATTTGTAATGTCTTTTGGTTAAAAAAGTAAAAAAAGTTTTGGTTAAAAAAGTAAAAAAAGAAACATTCACTAATCAGTTCCTTTATGCTGCATTTATGTCGCATATTTACCTAATGTGACCCTCTCTCTCTCTATCTCTCTCTCTCTCTCTCTCTCTCTCTCTCTCTCTCTCTCTCTCTCTCTCTCTCTCTCTCTCTCTCTCTCTCTCTCTCCTCTCTCTCTCTCTCTCCAAATGGTTATGAGGAGATATAATATTTACTTCAACGGGGAAGCAAACAAATGACACAATAAAAACAAAGATATCTAGTGTTGTAAACATACGAATTTTACCATTAAACATATTTCTACCCTAAAAAAAGTTGTGAACAAATTGTAGTATCTGTACATATCATATTAAATAGTCCTTGCAGTACCAGTTCATTTTTTGTTTTAACAACTGTAATATTTGTTAATAATAATAATTGTTATTGTATTTGAACTACGAACGTCCGTGTTTTATACTTGTCATATGTCTAATATATAGATCGATTTTGTATGATTTTATTTTATTTTCCAGTATTGCTATGTATAAAAGCATTATTAGATTCTCCAGATCCTAATGGTGGAAAATTGAGTTTATCGGAAGCTTTGACATACAACAGAACGGCGGCTGATTGGACACGAAAATGTGCAATGTTAGATGAATATTAAATATGTTATATCAATTGTTTTCCTTTAAATTTGTGGTACGCGCCTCGGACAGTTAATTTGTAATTTCCAATAAGTTTATTTATTGTGGTTATTGTGATGAAATAACTGTTATATGTTTACAAATTTTATGTTTTTACAAAAGTTGGTCTTATTCTTTATTGATTCTTGTTGATGGACTTGAACGGTGACCTATAGTTTCTTACATCTACGTAGACAGGTTCCCTGCCCTTTATCTGTTGGGCTCTGTGTGACTCACAAGGGAGAGAACCAGCATAACATCTATGTTATTTGGTGTCAGGTAGTAGTTGTCTCGTTGACAATCATACCACATCTCCAAATTCTAAATCAGATATTTTTTTATTTTCTCTCGGCAGTCGCGTTCTATTCGTAGTATAAGTATTGTTTAAGAGTTATATAGATGATGTTCTCTCAATAAATAATTCAAAGTTTGGTGATTATATTGAACACATCTATCCCATCGAATCTGAAATGGGGATACGACTGATACACTAAGGTGTTTCTCATGTCTTGACTTACATCTAGAAATTGACAAAGAGGGTCGGTCGGGAAGAAAGCTTGACGACAAAAGAGATGATTATAGCTTCCTAATTGTAAAATTTCCATTTCTATGAAGCAACATTTCAACGGATCCTGCATATGGAGTATATATCTCCAAGTTGATACGATATTCCACAGCTTGCATTTCCTTTCATGATTTTCTACTATTTACCGTCAAATTGAACTGGTTCCCTGTCCACTAACTGTTGGGCTCTGACAGATATAAGGATCAGGTAATGACCAACCATCTCAGATACCCGTATGTTACAATGGAAAGAACCAGCCTAACCGTCAAATCTACAGTTGAAATGTCGTAACTTAGGAGTGATCGTTATGTTGCCTTGCTGAAACCATAAATGTGCGAATAATGCAATAGAATAGACAATAAAACAACAGCTACCTCAAAACTCTATTTTAATGCGATATTATTCGAGTTTGAAACAAAAATGTAACGGAGTAACCTTCAGCTTGAGAGTTTTCATTCGTATGACGTCATGTTTTGATATGATGTTTATTCAGTCAATCTTAAAGGGGCATAAGCTACGAGATATACAAAAAAAAAATATTTTTTTTGTTCAATCATTAATGAAAGTCATATTATGAAATACTGATTTGCTTTTAGCAGCTAATTTAGTTCAATTTTTTGAAAATAAGATGAATAACATTGCTGATGAATTATTCTCTTGCAAGTGAATAATTCGACCTCTTTGAATCCGTATTCATGTGACCTATGTGACCTTTAATTTAACCCTTTAGCTGGCTGGCGATGGGTTACGCATGTAGTCAGCTATTAAAAGAAAAATAACAATGAACAGTGAAAGTGAAACAAGAATGAATCATCTGGTGGACTGGCCGCAGACCACAATTAATGATCCTGCTTTTCGTTGTCCATGAATATAGTTCCCTTTAATTAAAATGTATTTTTTCTTTATTTTTTTCTTTCCCTTTATCATACATTTCTTAGCTTTTATGGGCTGGAAATGAAAGAAGAGAGCTGAAATAAATTTTTGGATGTTTTATTTTAACTGATTTTGATATGGAAAGAGTGATAAGGCCAGGTGCAAAAAGGTAATATTTACAGTTTTCGGAACATGTCTTGACTTGTCTATAGGGGTATGGATGTGTATTGGCTAAATTCGTATGATGTATACATGCAATTTTTCTGAAAGTTGGATATATTTTTGAACTTGTACTGTACATAACACACACAAAAAAATTGACAAAAAAAAATCCAGGTAATTTTTTTTAATGCGACAAAACGTTATAAAGAACTAATAGAGGAATTAATTGTGGTCTGTGGACGACTGATTTGATCCACACAAAATATCATTCTAACTCAGGTAAAAACAATGATTAGCATACTTTTTAACCTACAATATGAAATCAAATAGACCTAGAACAATCCGTTCGCTATCAGTTTATGTTTATATTTATGTTTATATCGGGTTATATGACCGTCGGCAGTCTTCGGAGGTCATCTCGATGGTTAATAAGATGACGTCTAGAAAAAAATACATACGAAATGTTGATACATATTATCGGTTCCATGCATTGTTAATTATTTATTTTAGACTTTTTGTAATTTTTATATTCGTTTCAGTGTATTATAAATCAAATATAAGAATTTGAGTCAAATTGGTGAAGATGAATTTGACAGCTAATGCCCCTTTAGCACAGCGAGATCGGCATAGTGTTTGCACATAGGTTACGATAAATTTGGATTTACGTTGGAGGTAAATTGTTACAGTCGTTAGTATGCATATCTCTGAGTCTGCGCTAAGTAAAGATTTATCGATAATTTTATCATGCTGTTGTTTGCAAAGCGAATTACGCACGCCATATTAGAATTGTTATTTTAATATTAAGATAAGCAATCCAGATTGATCATGATGAATGCTATATTAACTCTCAACCTATTTGAAAATGCCTTGGAGTTCTGTATTTTGTTTCCAATATAATTTTTGGAAGGAGACTTCAAATTGGAAAAACATAAAGACCTCTGTTTAAATAGATGAAAAAAAGTGATAAATACATGATAAAATCCGTATCACATGCTGTACTACATTCGGCCCTCTGGCTGATATTTGTTACTCGGGCTGATACAACATCTGATACAGATTTTACCATATATCATTCTCTATATATCAATTATAAAATAATATCGGAGTTTTACTGATCCTCTATTCTTTTGATGGAATACTCATTTGAGGCAGAAGTTAGTTCTCAGGAAATTTTATACAAATGGCGGCGGCAAATCGATTGAACAAGGTAGATAATTACACTATAAAGGAAGCCCCTTTTTCAATATCCGTCATTTGTATTTACATACATGCAATCGGAATAAACGACAACCAATAGACAGAATCTTGTGATTTCTTTTAGTATGAAAAATAATTTAATATCTAATGAATTAAAACCAAAGTTTTGAAGGTATTGATATCTAATGGAAGCACATGAAGACGATACTTAAAAACAATATTCATATAAAATAAATGCACAGTTTAAGGAAGTTTCTATATTTTTGTTTGCTTTTAGTTAAAATCGCAGCTAAGCCAGAAAGAAAAAATAAATACAATAAAACGTATGTGATTTGTCTTAACTTCCTTATTCAATTTGTTGATTGATAATTATACAATATTAGGTCAATGTCAGCAAAATATAAACTTTTTTGTATAAGGCTGAGAAACTAGGAAAGGCGAGGTTTGAACGAACCCTTCCACAGTTTTGTGCCGAATAAAAAAAAATAGATTTTTCTGACATTGACCTAATACTGGCAGACGTGCAATGACGGAAATGATGACTACACGTAAATTTTAGAACCGAACGTCGTGAAGGACGGTCGATCCGAACTGGCTTTTTTCCGATTTTAACCCCTAAATACCTCCCAAAAGATCTTGAAATGAACACATAATAAACTACGCTGGTCATTACCCCTTTGTGGTATAAAACAATATTCGTGGATTTTATGTGAAAGAAGAAAACGCGATACCCAATTTCAACTCTATTCATTTAGTAATATAGATTTCAATGTCTTTTTATTGGAGTGGTCTTCAAAGCATACTTCGTGCCAGTATTTATATTTATACATGTTATAATGATTATATAAGTTACATTTCTGTCGATGTGTATTTATTTCGCGAACGTATACTCTTACATGTCTTAAGTCCGGGCTCACATAAACTTATTGGCGTAAAAAAATATAAGTCCGGCTGTGAACTGAAGTGACCTCGAACTAAAGAATATATTTGATTCTCTCATGCAAACAACTTGAAGTCCGGGGTCATTTTAGGTTACAACCACGACTCATTTATTCAATATTTTAGATAATTTCGTATATATATATATATATCAAAAAATATAAACAAGTCTAAATTGAAAACAACGTTCAAACCTATGATCGTGTTGTATACAAACCGCAATTTTTATACATGTACATGCAAAACAAATTTCTTGTTAGAGGGGTCTAAATACAGCTAGCACAAACAACAGTTTCCAAAAGACCAAAAAACTGAAAGAGTATATTTTAACAAAACGCATTTGACTAACAGGTCGAACAACAAATGTTCTTAAACCCTGCTGACTGCCATTGGCGATCGCCAAATAAACGGATCACCGATGTAATAAATGGATCTTAATTAAAAATTTAATACTAAACAGAAAACAATAAACTTGCGGAAAAGATGGTATACCGCAAACAAAAGGTGCAAAGGTTTTTGCACACCATATCCGGATTTCGACAATTAATGTCTCTTCAGTGATGTAAGGAATCGAAACGGTATTTGGAAAGCCATACAATTTACCTCAATTTAGGATAGACTCTTGAATTTTGAGGAGTCAAAATAAGATGAACGGATCATATCAACCCGAAGGCAAATATAATACAAGCCCAAACGAAAAAATATAAACAAGTCTAAATTGAAAGCAACGTTCAAACTAAATACTTTGCTTGCGTCATGACTTCTCTTCTAAAACATTCTATACAAACGCCAAAAAGACGACTAAACAAAGTAAGTAGTTACATAGTAAATAAAACCTATTTTCATGTCTTTTTGATTTATATACAAGAGGGTATTGATAGGTGGTCAATTTCTATATTCTTTAAATTTTTATGGCATTTTTCTGTATCTTCAGAAATTAAAGAACCTTTGTGAGCACGCTCACATACCCGACGCCCCCACATTGTCACTGGACAAACAAAATCTCACCAGATTTCTAAGTTCAAAAACTCATAACTCTACAAAAGTCAACTGATAAAAATTTTCTTGTGAAGATGCACATTAACATATGTCCTCATTAACTACAAAGTTTCATGATATTCTGGTGTGTGGTTTCAGAGGAGTTGCGATAACAAACAGTTGCAGTAGTCAATTGAGTCCAATCAGTTCAAAGAGGCATAACTTCTAGAAAAAAAAATGAATCATAATTTCCTGTCCATATGCACATCTACATAGTATGT